AATATTGTTTTACCTCACAAAAAATGGAAAAATTAAACTATTTAATATTAAAAGATCGGTCCATTATAAAATTTTCTTTTTAATATTATTTAGTTCGTTGTATAATTATTGTCAGGGCTCCTGCCAGTGAAGGAGCAAGGGGGTCATGACCCCCACTAATTCCTATTTTTTTGATTTATTACAGGCATATAATTGAAGCATTGGTTAATTTCTAATGGTTTGACCCTCTTAGTTGTGAATCTTCCAAATTTTGACCCTCTTATATACTTTTTCTACCTCCGCCACTGATTATTGTGTTAGTTTTTTATTTATATTGTTTCTTTTTCAATTTTATTTGTGCCTCTGATCATTAAAAATTTTCATTTTAATTATTAGTTAGTTGTTTTATAATTATTTTGTTAGTTTATTTATTACTACATTTTTCCAATTTTTTTTGTTGATATGTCATCACCTGATCAAATATTAGACAAATGTAGCTATCTAGAGTTAAATATTATTCATTGATATCTTGAATTTTTAAAGACACGATTTTTTAAGAGAAAGAAACTTAAAAAAATATAGCTTGTTATATATTGGTTTTTTTCCTTTTCGTAATGGAAATATTTTTTATTCACTTTCTTATTGGATGTAACATTTTTTTATTATTTCTTCATGTTTTCCTGATTTTCGTTTTTTTTTCCTTTTCGTAATATGATTATTTTTTTCTTTACTTTCCTAATGGATGTAATATTTATTTCTTTTTAATTGTTTATTTCCATTTTTCTGTTTTTTCCTAATGTAAAAATAGGATTTTATTTATTACATTATTTTGAATTTTAATATGTGTTTGGATAATATAAATTTGATGAATTAAAAGCCTTTTTCTAATTAGGATATGATAAATATGATTTTCTTCTTGTTACTGTAATAGATATCTTTTTTCCTTTTTCTAACATTTTTTTTTTCAAGACACGTGTCACGATCTTAACGGATGTAACATTAAAATTGATACATGTCGCGATCCTGTAAATTATAATAAATTTACTGTCGCAACCATGTCGCGCGCATCCGGCTTTATATAATAAGATCTTATATATAATAGGAGAGTTGCTCTCTCCTCCTAGGCTATCCACATCAGCAAAAAAATCATTAATTGTATTTAAGATATTTAATATATGTGTATTAATATTTCTTTATATATATATTCCTATTTTACCATAAACAAAACTAAGAAAAATACACAAACAATTTAATTGATTAATATAAAATATGTGATATCTTGATGTTAAAAGTTAAAAGAAAGTTGTAATATAAAATGGAGATGAAATAAATAGATATTTAACTTGAAATAGTATATAGTTAGGTTTTAACTCAAAGATTTATCTATTTAAAAATGTTATAATGTGCTTACAAGTAAAAAAGGTACGGTATAAATTATTTAACATAGTAAAAAGCTAATAAAAAATTAGAGTTAGAGTTTGTTTTATTAAAAAATAGAAGTCAGTTATTATTTAAATTTCATTGCAACGAAAAGCATGAAAATTTTAAGAATGGTGACATATTTGTTTCAAAAATACAATTTATATTTACAAAACTAACATAATAGAAAATAATCAATTGTCATATGCTACCACAACAAAGCATATATGTAAGAAGTTATACATGTTTTTGTTTCATCATATTTTGAGTGCAATTGCGATACAAATTTTAACGTTGAGTCAAATGCATATTAAATTTTACAAATAGAAACTCGGGATAAAGTAAGGTGTTGATATCTTAATAAAAAAAATTGATCATATTGTTAGTGTTAATTGTTGGGTTAACTCAAAATATAACCAAAACATGGAAGTTAACATATAACCATTATAATTCAAAATTTCAAATCAATGAATATAAATAAAATCAAACAGAAAAATTTCAACTTGCGTGGGGCTTTAATCCCTAGTAATATAAATGGATGGATTTTCTATATTAGATGACTATTAAATTGATTAATCATAGCATGTCTCATTCATGTTCAAAGCAGACTGTCTCATGCTCAATCAATAGCAAGTTGACTTCATCCCCGGGGACCGCGGTCCAGTAGAGGAGCGGAAAGGACTGTTATCTTGCATTCCTCATTCGCATTAGAGCATTAGAGTATGAATATAAGCAAGCTTTCTTATTCCGAAATTGAGAATCGTGAGACGAGCGAAACAATCAACCTATTGATATTGGAAGACCAAAAAGATTCTTCCGATGTATCATTTCTGGGTCCAATGGAATTCGTAGGTATAGGAAGAAGCCCTTTCAAATAGAGATTTTTGCTTTCGACCATATTTTGATTGTTAATACGATATAGAAGGGCCGCTACTACAAATAGTACTACACCCTTGATCGTGAAATATCGATTGCTTGTTGAACCCTGTGAATTGCGCAAAAGTAGGTGGTTCGAGAGGATCCAGCTACAGGAGAACCAGGAACGGAGAGCTTTCCCCTGTTCAAGGGTGTAGTACTATTTGTAGTAGCGGCCCCTGTTTACTTGTGTTTCCATCTTGTCGATTCTACTAGAAATTCTATAATAAGAATAACTCATTACATTAATACACATCAATTCTCGAGCCTCGCTGTTGTCTGCTACATTCAAATAGGTTTGTGGTTGAATCATATCATTTTTTTGTATCTCTTCTTTTAATGCAAAGGACGAAGTAAAAAAATATTGTTTGTCAAAAAAAAAAAAAAAAACTTATAACCTTTGTAAGAAAGGCTACGAGAAAGATATGCAAAGGTGCAGTCTATTTCCCATGGTCGACCAAAGGAGTCGTGTTTTTCCTAAGGTTTAGCGGGCAGAGGAAAGTAACGATGGATTCTGTTTTCTTGTGTTAAAGGTTTCTTCTCAATCAAGCATATCAACTGGCCAACTAAATCACGACGTAAGTAGAATGAGAATCAATATCTCCGTCACCACCATCCTTGACCAACTCAGTAGTCTATCCAGGAACAGCGGACTAGCACTGCCAGACTCAGTCCGGGAACGGTGGAACGCTTAGTACTTTAGCATGCATCAACAAAACGCTAGTCCAAGAATCAGTCCACTTCTGATGACCTTTCCAATCCGAGCTGTAGTAACTCCAAGTAAATGACTAACCATTGAAAACCAGTGCAAAATGAAAAAAAAAGTGCCAATGAACTTAGCTTAGATTCATACCATTCGTTAAACAATCAATTCATATTTAACAATTTTTATACTGTAGAGAGTAGACTATTTCTCGTAATAATTGAGTATTGATGCTTGAATTGGCAGGCCCTTTTTTCTATAGGTAGGAACGCTGTAAGTGACCTTTTATTTGCTCCGCTCACTTTGACGTCGTACTAATATAACAACCGGCCCGGCTATGACACGAAGATCTCGTCGCCATATCCAGGTTAAATGATTCTTAAATTTTCAAGTATTTTATAAATTAGAAAAACATGTTTCATGACTAAAGATTGCTAATGGTATTTGACAAAAAATTGTTTCATTTGAGGTCGAATCAGATTTTCCTTGATAATGTTGGAGATTTAAGTGCTAAAAGGTATATTAACGAACCAATACAACGTTTTGTTGACTATAAAACATACAGTTGCAAACGTATACTGAACCTTTTGAAAGTAAAAATACAGAGAGAAAGATCAAATTCACAATAGGAAAAACAGTTAAACTGATAAACTAAAAAGATCATGATGGCTTTGCGGACTCCTACTCAAAAGATTTTGGATCCGCCAGAATCATTGTTTTCTTCTCAATCTTTAGGTTGTCTCTAGCTTGAAGACCCTTTATCCTCCTCTTACCCTCGCCTCCGGCGAGTTTCCTTTCCTTCGAAGTTGCTCCAAATCGAGACTCTATCTGCCAGCTATGCCCAAAGTCTTTGGTATTTTTAAATATGGAAGTGCTTATGCTTAGATGCATTTGGGAAGGTGAGAGTACTCACATTGCTAACATAATAAAGAAAGTTTGACGGACAATCGTTCTATCTCTTAAAAAAATTAGAAGATAATAGATATATTCATCTCTAAAATCATAGTCTATAATCTATATACCCTTAAAACTGCATTTAATATAAGTCCCATCTAAACTCCCTATATGGGATATTCTCACAAATTAAAACAATCACATCGAAAAATAGACATCTCTAGATTTTTTTTTTTTTTTCGTTTTCTTCACCACATCCTCTGAGTTCGAATTTCACAATCATTCCCAGGTTTAGAAATATTTTCTGTAGCATCTTTATGCTTCATGTTGTTGCGCTACGCTGCTCTGTTTGTTTCTATCGACACACAACTTTAATATCGCTTCCAATTTCGCCTCCATGGAACTGAGTCGCGGGATTCAATCTTGTTTCCGAAAAATCGATTGTAGAAGAAATCGATAAATTATGTTCAGCTTTCCTTTGGTCTGGTCCTGATTTAAATCCACATAAGCGAAAGTTGTATCAGAATGTATAAACAGTTAATTCCGGTTTAGTCACTTGATAAGTTTCCTTTAGCTTACTAAGTGTAGATTGATTTTAACATTAATGAAAAATATCAGATTTACATCTTAATATAGTATCAGAGAAAACGTAACAAACTTTCTGCTTTAACTTTTCTCGTTCTTTCTCACTGTTTCTCGGCACTTTCTCGGCTCGTTCTTCTTCGATTTGAGCTGGAAATCGATGCTCATTCTCCAATTCCTTCTGGATTCAATGAGTCTTTCGTGTTCCCAGCTGATTTCTGAGCTTTTTTGTGTCGTTGTTTCGGTGATTCTCGCTTCGATTCGCGATTTTGTGATTCGCATCCTTCTTGCCATTTTCTCTTCCGTTTGACCTTGATTGTTGCTATTCTCTTCATTTTCGGCACAATATTTCTCTTGTTTTGGATTCACGATCTGTTTTCTAGCTCATAATCATGGAAACAGCTCCGGCGAACCATCAGTTTCAGTTTCAGGATCAATACGAGAATCCGTATTTTCTCCATAGTTCTGATCATGCCGGACTCATTCTCGTCTCTGATCGTCTCCAATCTGGTGGGGACTTTCATTCATGGCGTCGCTCTGTTCGGATGGCTCTCAATGTTCGGAACAAACTCGGATTCATTGATGGCACCGTTCCAAAACCTCACGATAACCATCGCGATGCCGGCTCTTGGTCGCATTCCAACGATATGGTGGCGACGTGGTTGATGAATTCCGTCTCCAAGAAAATCGGTCAGAGTCTTCTCTTTATGAATACTGCTGAATCAATCTGGAAGAACCTATTGGCTAGATTTAAGCAAGACGATTCTGCTAGAGTTTTTGAGATTGAACAGCGTTTAAGTAGTATTCATCAAGGCTCGATGGATGTGAGCACTTACTATACAGAATTGGTGACTCTCTGGGAAGAACACGAACTTTCTGTGTGTTCGTGTGGCAAATGTGAGTGCAATGCCGTTAGTCTATGGGAGCGTTGATGTACTTGCATTTTACATAGTTTTAGTACATCTTTTATGCATCTTTTGCATAGTTTTAGCATCCATTAGCATCATATCTTGTTCCTTTTCTCTTCTTATGCATTCATAGTAGTTTTAGGTTGCATTTGCATACATATGCATGTTTGGTCCTTTGAAATAGGTCTTTTGGAGCATTTGGAGCATATGGGACGTGAGGAGCATGGAGGACTTGGCACATGGACGCAGCTCAACTGGATACGCAAAGGAAGAAGGAGGAAGCCATCTTGAAGACCAGCTCGACCGGTCGAGTTCCTCAACTCGACCGGCCAAGCTTCAACTCGATCGAGCTGAGAAGTCAACAGTCAAACCCGAAAAATGTTGCTTCCCCCTTGACTTTCCTTTGACCCTAAACCTAATCCTCTTGTATTTAAAGGCTAAAAGCCACGAAAAAACCACCAAGCTTTAGATTACTTTTGTTTTAGTTTCTTTTAATTTATTGTCTTTTACTTTTTAGAGCTCTAATCCCATCTTTGTGTTCTTGAAGCTCTTGCTTCTTGAATCCTAGATCCTGGATAATCTCTTTGTATTTGCACTTGCTTATTTCAATAAAAGTTGTTTAATTTCATCTCCTCTTTCTTATGATGTCTCTTTTATTGCATTTGCTTGTGTTTACATTCATGTGTAGTGAGTAGTTACCCATTAGGGTTTGAGATGGGATAGATTAGAGGTTTTATGCTTAATCCTTCTTGCTTATGTTCTTAATCTAGATCTCTCTCTTTTGGACAATCTTAAGGCTACATGACCACTACCCCTGGCTTGTATGTCCATTAGGCGATTCTCCACATGGAAGTGATGGAAATCGCTGGAAAAGGTCCACTAAGAGCTCCAATATCTCTTGCTCTAGAAATAGAGGTCTAAGGGGTTGGATGGATTAGTTTGAGCAATGATCCTATGGCCTCCAAGGCTTGATTCTCACTGGCTAACCCCCTGTTTCTGAGATCAAGTCTTGGTTGATAGCTTTCACCTTGGGAAAGGGTTAGCTAGGCATTGAGAAGCTCAATATCAAGAGATACCTTGATACAAGGTTTTAAGAGCAAGATTGATTAAGTATAGCCTTCCTCTGATTGCAAAACCCTGTCTTAGACCCTAATTTTCTTCTAGCTTGTTAAAGTCGCTGCCTTTATTGCTTTTTACTTCAACTCGACCCTAAACTCGATCGAGCTCGGTACTCTGTTCCAACTCGACTCGAGTCCTTGGTCGAGCTGTTGCTCTACTGCTTTATTTTATTTCTGCATTGCATTTCATTTTTAGGTTGTTAGTGTTACCAAATCTATTACTGCTTGCTTGACTTTCTTGTGTTTCATATTCTCATAGAGTGACAAGTTTCCCATTTTGGATTGATAACCTCTTATACTACTGACTATGATGGTTAAGAGGAATTGATTGATTGTGATTGCACCCTCATCTTTATTCACCCTGTTTGCATTCCACCTCATATCTTATCATTCATTCATATCACACCACAAAATCCTATCATCAATTTGGCGCCGTTGCCGATTTGGGATTATTTTGTTGCATTTGAGTTTCAAACACACTTGGACGATCAAGCTATACCACCCCTGTTCTATTGTACTGCTGGGTTTTTGTCTCTTTTTGCAGGTGTATGCGAACTCGATCGAGTCGGTCTACTGAGGACTTGGTCGAGCTAGACTTTACAACGGGTAGAAAGAGGGTTCAGAGGTCACAGAGGGTACAAGAGGAACCTGAGGTGCTTGTTGCTGATACAATGGATGTACCAGAGGGGAATGGAAACCCTTTGGGCAATGGACTCGGTCGAGCTAGGCAAACTCGACCGATTGGTCTAGGAGATGCTCCAAACCGCCACCAACAGAGACAAGGGATCTTTGTCAAATCACAAGCCTATCAAACTCATCAAGGTGGTCAATGGGGTCTTCACTTGGCAATCCATGGAACATCTTGTTCTGGACAAGGTTGATCATTCCCAGCTTGATCTCAAAGTTGTGGTTCTGCACTGGTGGTGGAACAATCCCTTGTCTCTGTTGGTGGCGGTTTGGAGCATCTCCTTGACCAATCGGTCGAGTTTGCCTAGCTCGACCGAGTCCATTGCCCAAAGGGTTTCCATTCCCCTCTGGTACATCCATTGTATCAGCAACAAGCACCTCAGGTTCCTCTTGTACCCTCTGTGACCTCTGAACCTCTTTCTACCCGTTGTAAAGTCTAGCTCGACCAAGTCCTCAGTAGACCGACTCGATCGAGTTCGCATACACCTGCAAAAAGAGACAAAAACCCAGCAGTACAATAGAACAGGGGTGGTATAGCTTGATCGTCCAAGTATGTTTGAAACTCAAATGCAACAAAAATAATCCCAAATCGGCAACGGCGCCAAATTGATGATAGGATTTGTGTGTGGATGTGAAAAGATATGAAATGAGATGTGGAATGCAATCAGTGGTATATGATGAGGTGGTAAGATGCAAACACAAACACAGTCAACAATTCCCTTTAACCATCATAGTCATGTAGTACAAAGGTTATCAATCCAAAATGGGAAACTTGTCACTCTATGAGAATATGAAACAACCAGGAAGTCAAGCAAGCAGTAATAGATTTGAAGTAACACTAACAACCTAAATAAATGAAATGCAGTGCAATAAAAGTAAACAAAGCAGTGAAGTAGCAGCTCGACCAAGACTCGAGTCGAGTCAGAACAAAGTACCAGCTCGATCGAGTTTAGGGACGAGTTGAGACAAACAAAGCTAAAGGTGACGACTTTAACAAGATAAAGAGAGAATTAGGGTTCAAGACAGGGTTTTGCAATCAAAGGAATCTACACTTAATCAATCTAGCTCTTAAAACTCCTTGTATCAAGGCTTCTCTTGATATTGGGCTTCTCAATGCCTAGCCAACCCTTTCCCAAGGTGAGGCTATCAACCAAGGAATGATCTCAGAAACAGGGGGTTAGCCAGTGAGAATCAAACCTTGGAGGCTATAGGATCATTGCCCAAACTAATCCATCCAACCCCTTAGACCTCTATTTCTAGAGCAAGAGATATTGGAGCTCTTAGTGGATCTTTTCCAGCGAATGCCATCACTTTCGTGTGGGGAATCGCCTAAGGACTTACAAGCCAGGGGTAGTGGTCATGTAGCCTTAAGATCTATCCAAAAGAGAGAGAATCTAGATTAAGACCATAAGCTAGAAGGATTAAGCATATGAAACCTCTAATCTATCCCATCTCAAACCCCAATGGGTAACTACTCACTACACATGAATGTAAACACAAGCAAATGCAATAAAAGAGACATCATAAGAAAGAGGAGATGAAATTAAACAACTTTTATTGAAATAAGCAAGTGCAAATACAAAGAGATTATCCAGGATCTAAGATTCAAGAAGCAAGAGCTTCAAGAACACAAAGATGGATTAGATTGCTAAAAAGTAAAAGACAATAAATTAAAAGAAACTAAAACAAAAGTAATCTAAAGCTTGGTGGTTTTTTCGTGGCTTAGAGCCTTTAAATACAAGAGGATTAGGTTTAGGGTCAAAGGAAAGTCAAGGGGGAAGCAACATTTTTCGGGTTTGACTTTGACTTCTCAGCTCGATCGAGTTGAAGCTTGGCCGGTCGAGTTGAGGAACTCGACCGGTTGGTCGAGTAGGGTCGAGCTGGTCTTCAAGATGGCTTCTCCCTTCTTCCTTTGCGTATCCAGTTGAGCTGCTTCCATGTGCCAAGTCCCTCCATGCTCCTCATGTCCCATATGCTCCAGAATGCTCCAAAAGACCTATTTCAAAGGACCAAACATGCATATGTATGCAAATGCAACCTAAAACTAACATGAATGCATAAGAAGAGAAAAGGAACAAGATATGATGCAAATGGAAGCTAAAACTATGCAAAAGATGCATAAAAGATGTGCTAAAACTATGTAAAATGCAAGTACATCAAACACTTTGTTGTTGGTGCGGCCAGGGGGCTTGATAATTGTTGTATCTCCCTTGTTGAGGATTCCTATAGCTTCCTTGTCTATTTTGAATGTAGCAAACCTCTTGTGTTGTCTCCTCCCCTTCCTGGTCCTTGACTAGGTTTGTTCTGAGACATAGTTGACATGCTTGGCAGGGAATTGGGCTAGGATCAGTTTGTCCAACTTCGAGTTGAGTGCAAGCATGTCTTTTCTCATCTGAGCGTCCAGCTCGATCGAGTGGTGGGTCGAGCTCCGTCTGTATCATACTCTCTCCATAGCTTCCATTTGATAGGCTATGTTCTCCACAAGTTGCCAGCCATCATCTACATCCTGGTTGAGGAAGTTCCCATTGCTAGCTGTGTCTAGCATCTCCCTATACCTAGGCAAGCATCCTCTATAAAGAGTGGAGAGTAGGATTCATTGTTGAATCCATGGTGTGGGCACTGACTTGTGTAGCCTTTGAACCTCTCCCAAGCCTCTGCGAATGTCTCATTGTTTCGCTGGATGAAGCTGGATATCTCTCCTCTAAGCTTGGCTGTGCGACCGGTGGAGAAAAACTTAGCAAGAAAGGCCTTCTTGCATTCATCCCAAGTGGTGATTGTGCCATGGGGCAAGCTCTTCTCCCATTGGTGAGCTTTGTCAGCTAGAGACATAGGAAAGAGTCTCAGCTTGATGGCATCTTCAGAGACACCATTGATCTTTGTCAAATCACAAAGCCTATCAAACTCATCAAGGTGGTCAATGGGGTCTTCACTTGGCAATCCATGGAACATCTTGTTCTGGACAAGGTTGATCATTCCCAGCTTGATCTCAAAGTTGTGGTTCTGCACTGGTGGTGGAACAATCCCTTGTCTCTGTTGGTGGCGGTTTGGAGCATCTCCTTGACCAATCGGTCGAGTTTGCCTAGCTCGACCGAGTCCATTCCCAAAGGGTTTCCATTCCCCTCTGGTACATCCATTGTATCAGCAACAAGCACCTCAGGTTCCTCTTGTACCCTCTGTGACCTCTGAACCCTCTTTCTACCCGTTGTAAAGTCTAGCTCGACCAAGTCTTCTGTAGACCGACTCGATCGAGTTCGCATACACCTGCAAAAAGAGACAAAAACCCAGCAGTACAATAGAACAGGGGTGGTATAGCTTGATCGTCCAAGTGTGTTTGAAACTCAAATGCAACAAAAATATTCCCAAATCGGCAACGGCGCCAAATTGATGATAGGATTTGTGTGTGGATGTGAAAAGATATGAAATGAGATGTGTGGAATGCAATCAGTGGTATATGATGAGTGGTAAGATGCAAACACAAACACAGTCAACAATTCCCTTTAACCATGATAGTTGATTAGTACAAAGGGTTATCAATCCAAAATGGGAAACTTGTCACTCTATGAGAATATGAAACAACCAGGAAGTCAAGCAAGCAGTATAGATTTGGTAACACTAACAACCTAAATGAAAGAAATGAAATGCAGAAAGTAAATAAAGCAGTAAAACAGCTCGACCAAGACTCGAGTCGAGTAGGAACAGAGTACCAGCTCGATCGAGTTTAGGGTCGAGTTGAGAAAAGCAGTAAAGGCAGCGACTTTAACAAGCTAAGAGAGAATTAGGGTTCAAGACAGGGTTTTGCAATCAAAGGAATCTACACTTAATCATCTAGCTCTTAAAACTCCTTGTATCAAGGCTTCTCTTGATATTGGGCTTCTCAATGCCTAGCCAACCCTTTCCCAAGGTGAAGGCTATCAACCAAGGAATGATCTCAGAAACAGGGGGTTAGCCAGTGAGAATCAAACCTTGGAGGCTATAGGATCATTGCCCAAACTAATCCATCCAACCCCTTAGACCTCTATTTCTAGAGCAAGAGATATTGGAGCTCTTAGTGGATCTTTTCCAGCGAATGCCATCACTTCGTGTGGGGAATCGCCTAAGGACTTACAAGCCAGGGGTAGTGGTCATGTAGCCTTAAGATCTATCCAAAAGAGAGAGAATCTAGATTAAGACCATAAGCTAGAAGGATTAAGCATATGAAACCTCTAATCTATCCCATCTCAAACCCTAATGGGTAACTACTCACTACACATGAATGTAAACACAAGCAAATGCAATAAAAGAGACATCATAAGAAAGAGGAGATGAAATTAAACAACTTTTATTGAAATAAGCAAGTGCAAATACAAAGAGATTATCCAGGATCTAGGATTCAAGAAGCAAGAGCTTCAAGAACACAAAGATGGGATTAGAGCTCTAAAAAGTAAAAGACAATAAATTAAAAGAAACTAAAACAAAATAATCTAAAGCTTGGTGGTTTTTTCGTGGCTTTTAGCCTTTAAATACAAAGAGGATTAGGTTTAGGGTCAAAGGAAAGTCAAGGGGGAAGCAACATTTTTCGGGTTTGACTTTGACTTCTCAGCTCGATCGAGTTGAAGCTTGGCCGGTCGAGTTGAGGAACTCGACCGGTTGGTCGAGTAGATGGTCGAGCTGGTCTTCAAGATGGCTTCTCCCTTCTTCCTTTGCGTATCCAGTTGAGCTGCGTCCATGTGCCAAGTCCCTCCATGCTCCTCATGTCCCATATGCTCCAGAATGCTCCAAAAGACCTATTTCAAAGGACCAAACATGCATATGTATGCAAATGCAACCTAAAACTAACATGAATGCATAAGAAGAGAAAAGGAACAAGATATGATGCAAATGGATGCTAAAACTATGCAAAAGATGCATAAAAGATGTACTAAAACTATGTAAAATGCAAGTACATCAACACCCCCAAACTTGACCCTTAAATACAAGAGGATTTAGGTTTAGGGTCAAAGGAAAGTCAAGGGGGAAGCAACATTTTTCGGGTTTGACTGTTGACTTCTCAGCTCGATCGAGTTGAAGCTTGGCCGGTCGAGTTGAGGTGGTCGAGCTGGTCTTCAAGATGGCTTCTCCTTCTTCCTTTGCGTATCCAGTTGAGCTGCGTCCATGTGCCAAGTCCCTCCATGCTCCTCTGTCCCATATGCTCCAGAATGCTCCAAAAGACCTATTTCAAAGGACCAAACATGCATATGTATGCAAATGCAACCTAAAACTACATGAATGCATAAGAAGAGAAAAGGAACAAGATATGATGCTAAATGGATGCTAAAACTATGCAAAAGATGCATAAAAGATGTACTAAAACTATGTAAAATGCAAGTACATCAACACCCCCAAACTTGACTTTGCTTGCCCTCAAGCAAACAAATAGAACAAGAAAGAGATGAGGTTTGAAAACAGTTGATTCAACACTTAAAAACATGTCCTCAAAAGCGATTTGCTAAATGTCCAACTTAGAGATTCTAGAATGCAACAAGGTGAGAGATATTCATTAAGATTTAACCATGCTTATCAACATCAATCCCACTTCACAGTCACTCAAACAATGCATTCAAATCAGCAAATCCCTTTAACATTCATTAAGCAAAAACAGTGAACCAAAAACATGCAAGATCAATCAACTCATTTGGTTTCAAGGGTTTATGGGTTAAGAGACAAAGAGGGTCTCTTTTGTATGGTGGTTTAGTAACAGGGATCTCTCAAGAAAGTGGCTTTGCTTTGGCAGAAGGCTAAGTGTTAGAACCAAAGATGATGCAAGAACAGCAGCTCGAGCCGCCTAATCCTAACTCGATCGAGTTCAACACTTAGAGCTTTTTAGAACAAAATCCTAACTACCCTTTTTGGCATTTCGCCTTTGAAACTGAGGAGCTTTGCTCACTTTTCTTTTAAGAACTTCCTAGGGAGAGGCTTCTTGAGGTAACATCTAGCGGTTTGGGATTTTCTAAACACTTAGGGAACTTTTCTTTCTTTTTGACACTTGAGGCTTTGCCTTCTTTTCATTCTACTTAGAACCCTTTTTACTTCCTTTTTTAACTTCCCAAACCTTTACTAGACCCTTTTTAACACTGCCAACTCCCTGGACTTAACTAAACTCTTTTTCCTTTGGATTTTCCCAACTTTTACCACTTTTCTGGTTTTTGACACCCAACTCGATCGAGCTCGAGTTGGCACCCCCAAACTTAGCCTGAAAACAATCCCAAGAGAACTAGACAACTAGAACTACTGCCCCTGCCGGTTTAAACACAACACCTTATGCTAAGCAAAGCCAAGAAAGGTTCTCACATTCGCACAAGAGATAATAAGGGGTTTGAAATGAAAAGGCTTAGGTTTAAGGTGTGGTAACTGTCTCAAAGATAGAGATCAGCTATCTGGACAAGCAAAGGGATATGAAAATGGTAAAGAATGTCCAGATATGTATGTGGTAGCCATGAGTTGAAATCAAATGCAAGCATTGGTAATTAAAGATCAAGTTATGGTTCAAATAGATAGGGAAATGCATCAAATCACAGCAATGGTTGAATGAGATGTGCATGCAGTGATATGATCAAGATAAACATGGTTCTTGCTGCTCAATCAATCTCACCCTAATGCACAAAAGAATCTAAAAACAGGGCACTCAAGAAATCGCAAAAGATGGACAAGTTTTCAAAGTCAAATCAACAATGCAAGTGAAAATGCAATCCTAAACAAGTCTAACAAATATGAATGCAAAAAGATGAAAATATTTTTGGATTTTTTGAAAATTTTATGATTTTTTTGGTTTTTCTATGCAAAAGATAATGAAAAACTAAGAACAAAGAAAACAAGGTTAAATCATCTCTTGAACCCTCCCCCAAACTTAAATCACACAGTCCCTTGTGTGAGAAAATTTAGTGAAAGATTCAAGAGGGCAAAACCAAAAAAAAACAAAGAAAGAAAATATGAAATGGTATATACAAGGGTTGGTGTTTGGATACCTCAGTGCCCCCCAAAGAACTGGGAGGCAAGGTCGTGGTCTGGAGATGGGAGACGGCCATCAGGAGCACTCCACTCGACTGGGTTCGCCTCGCTCGATCGAGCTTGGCTCCTCTTCTTCCTCTTCTTCATTGAAGTGTGTGTGGCTCCCTTGGCCTTGGTGGAGCTGGCTAGCTCGTACTGTCCATAGGGGTTCCATCTACTGAGGAGTCCTGGTAAGGCGTTGGATCGTACTCAAATCCAGGGTCTCAAACTGGGCTCCTCCAGGTCAACTCGACCGTCAGCTCGATCGAGTTGAGTTTCCTCTGTTTGGACTCGATCGAGTCCGGTGGTCGAGCTGGAGCGTCTGGCCTTAGGCTCTTCCTCCTTCTCTGTGAGTTGTCTTCTCCTTCCCTTGGCTCGAAAGAAGAGGCTCTGTGAGGCTCTTGGGCAGGGAGCCTCCTTGGAGTGGTGAGGAGGATCTACTCCTAGGAATGTGGCTCATGGAGCCTTCTTCTTCTTGCTTGAAGAACCAGAAACCTTCTTCTCCAAACTTTTGATCTTGCTCACTCTCTTCAACCAACTGATTCACCTCTTCTCCTTCCTCTTCACTCTCAGTCTCATCACTTCCTTCTTCTTGGAGAGCCATTTCCCTCCTCTTGAACAAGGTTCACTCCAATCTCAAACTCCCCTTGCTCACTCTCACTACTAATGGGGTCATTCCTCTTCTTGGTCCTCCTCTCCTCCCTCAATCTCTCACTCTCAGACTCTTCCTCAGAGTACACATATCCCTCTGCATCAGACTTTCCATCCTCTGATCATCCTCTCCAAATCGGCTTGCATCTTAAGCCTTCTTTCCCTTGCATTGCTTGATTCACCCTCAACCATTCTCCTTGTGAAGCGCGACTTCCCTCACTGTTTGTCATCTCTTGTTACACTGTTTCTTCACTAAAGTACCTGAAATGCATCAAAGATTACAAAGAATTAGAGTTGTAATGATCGGTTTGGTCAACTCGACACTCAGCTCGATCGAGTCAAAAAACTCGAGTGACAAACTCGATCGAGCTAGGTGAAAACAGAGTATAACCGAACCTAATTCAAGTATTAAGAGCTGGAAAGATGCTAATCAATCAAATTGAACCAAGAACAACTAGTAAATGGAACAATGAGCAATTCTAGTGAACACTAAGCATTTAACCAATACCAAACTCAAATTCAATTTTCAAGCACATGCAACAAGTTCTAAGGCAAAACAGAGGTGAGGTGAGGCAAATTCAAAAACATGAGCAGGAGAAATATGAAAGCAATTACTCAAGAACAAGTCCACAAGGGACACATGCAATCAAAAATCAAAGAGGAAACAAGCAATAATGGAAATCGAGATGGAGGAATCAAGGGTTTTAGGGTTCATACCTTGTTGAATGATGAATTGAAGAGCAGTAAACTAAACCCAAAGCAAAACAATGAAGAACAAGAGAAATCGCAAAAACTTAAGAGAGAGAAAGGAAATCGAATTTTTCTTGTGGTGAGAGAGAGAGAGAGATGAGTTTCAGAAATTTTAAGTGTGGGAGAGTGGAGAAGTGGGTTCGATCGAGTTATGGGGAAGAGGGAGTGTTTGAGATGTGTGGTTGAGATTAAAAGGTGAAATAAAGAGGGAACAAAAGCTAGGGTTTCTGATCAATTAGGGTAGTGGGGGACCAAAATCAGCTTGTGGGACCCACTCCCTTGACCAAGAAAACGGTTATGAATTTGAAATTCAAAAACTTACCTCGGTCGAGTTGTGGAACTCGATCGAGTTGCCCTGGTTTCTAGCTCGATCGAGCTGTCGGTCGAGCTGGCTCCTTTGACACCTAAACTTAACTTATTGAAAGGTTAAAACACAAAATAGATAGAAATTGCATAAATAGAATATGTACAAGGATAAACATGGGACTTCCTCCCAAGTGAGCTTGTTTAAGGTCCCATAGCTTGACCTTTACCTTCTTAGGCATTGGTTGAGCTAGTCCCACCATCAAGGGTGATAGTGAGGACTTGAGACAGAAGCTCCTTTAGCTTGGTTGGGTCCCTGGACTGTTCTGAAGTCACCAAGGCCTTGGCTCTAGAGAATGGCCTTGATCTCCCCTTGTACCTTATCTTGTACTCAATCTTCCCATTTTCAAACTTGGTGGGGAACAAAGTCATTGTGAGCTGAGATGGCTTGACTGAAGGGGCCTGAGCTGGTGGATCCTTTCTTTTATCCCTGGTCTTGCCTTAGAGGCTACATCCTCCCCTTCTTTTAGAGCCCTTCCTAGTGGCTCATCAAACAAAGCTTGAAGGCTCTCTTCATCAAGCACACAAGGGGCTTGAACAAGTCTCAGCTCGTGGCCTATCAGATCGTGGTTTCTCAACTCTAGCCCTCTCAAGACGTGGCTTCTCAATCCTTGGTCCTCTCTCATCCTTATCCTTCCCAACTCTTGGTTCTTTGTCAACCCTTTCCTTCACAACCTTTGTAGCTCCATGACTCTTAGAACTGAGAGTGGTACTGTCAATTGTGGCACAAAAGTCTGAACCTCTAGGCTGCAAGCGATATGACACCAAACTATTCACCTTGTGAAGGATCACTTCTTGCTTGTGAAAGTCTATTGAAGCGCCAACTGTACTAAGGAAAGGGGTTCCCAATAACAGAGGTAAATCCTTCTCTTCTTCCATTTCCATCACAGTGAGATCAGTTTGGATGATGCATTCTCCAATTTTCAAGTGATAGTTCTTGAACACTCCAAGAGGAGACTTAGAAGTTGCATCTCCAAACATGATTGAAGTAGTAGGGCGCTGCAAGGCTCCAGCAATGCCTAGCTTCTCTGCCATGGAGAGAGAGATCAGATTGATGCTTGCTCCAGAATCCACTAAGGCATTGTCAATCTCAAGATGCCCAAGTGTGCAAGGGAGAGTGAATTTCCCTTGATCCTTGACCTTTGGTAGGAAGGTGGGTGAAGTAAGCAGGTTGAACTGATGAGTAGACTCTTGTAGGACCTCTGAAACTTTATCACTGTTGGCTAGAACATCCTTGACCATTTGCATTTGATCAAATGCCTCACTCATGCTATCCATAGGAGGCAACTCAATTCCAATCCCACTGAGATCTCTTCTGAACTTGTGAATCACTTCCTTGTGACCTTGACTAAGTAGGCGAGACGAGGAAGCGGCAACCGGTTGGTAAGGATCAAGCAAAACAGGTTTTGGACGAGAAGAGTTGGACTCGATCGAGCTGCCGATCGAGCTTGTTGTGCGAGCTCAACTGGTGAAGTGTGAATGGCCACAGTAGGTGCCTGCACTTCTGGTTGATCAATCTGGACTCCAGGAGCCTCAGCAGCAACAATCTCTTCATCATTCAGCAGTAAACAAAAATCTTCAATGACCCTTTCTTGATCCTCTTCTTCAACAAGTCCTTCTTGAGTGAAGATGACCTTGCACTGTTCCTTGGGGTTCTGAATAGCTTTACCAGGTAGTTGTCCTTGCTTTGTAGCAGCAGCAACAGAAGAAGCATGATTCTCCAGAGAGTAAACCCTTGTGTTGAGGTTCTCGATCTTAGAGTTTATTTCAGCTAGCTTCTTGCTTGTGTCCACTACCCCATCAGCTTGCCCTTGAAGTAGTTGCTTTAGCATTGCCTTGAGCTCATTCTCTTGTGAAGGTGCAGGCTGGGGCGGTTGGTGGGGGAAAGCCTGGTGGGATATTCATTTGTTGTCCAGGGAAAGTGCCTTGTGGTCCTTGGTAATTGTTCTTTTGACCATACCCATGTTGTGGCACCTGACTCGATCGAGCTGCTTGTTGTTGAGGATATACTTGGTCCTGAGGGTTAGCAACATCAGTGTTGCGGTATGACATGGCAGGGTTGGACTTGTAATTATAGTATCCTTTGTTGTAACCTCCTTGCCCATTGCTCATGTAGCACACCTCAGCAAATTGTGTATCCTCCCCTTCTTGGACTGGTTCCATCTCCTCAGCAGACACAAAGTTGACTTTCTTCATTGTGGACTGAGCTAGGATCAGCTTATCCAACTTCTCATTCAATGCCTTAACATCTTTTCTCAACTTTTCGTCTGACTCGATCGAGTGGTGGGTCGAGCTCCGGTTGGTGCGATCATACTCTTCTCCATAGCTTCCATTTGAGTTAGCTATGTTCTCCACAAGTTGCCAGCCATCATCTACATCCTGGTTGAGGAAGTTCCCATTGCTAGCTGTGTCTAGCATCTCCCTATACCTAGGCAAGCATCCTCTATAAAGAGTGGAGAGTAGTGATTCATTGTTGAATCCATGGTGTGGGCACTGACTTGTGTAGCCTTTGAACCTCTCCCAAGCCTCTGCGAATGTCTCATTGTTTCGCTGGATGAAGCTGGATATCTCTCCTCTAAGCTTGGCTGTGCGACCGGTGGAGAAAAACTTAGCAAGAAAGGCCTTCTTGCATTCATCCCAAGTGGTGATTGTGCCATGGGGCAAGCTCTTCTCCCATTGGTGAGCTTTGTCAGCTAGAGACATAGGAAAGAGTCTCAGCTTGATGGCATCTTCAGAGACACCATTGATCTTTGTCAAATCACAAAGCCTATCAAACTCATCAAGGTGGTCAATGGGGTCTTCACTTGGCAATCCATGGAACATCTTGTTCTGGACAAGGTTGATCATTCCCAGCTTGATCTCAAAGTTGTGGTTCTGCACTGGTGGTGGAACAATCCCTTGTCTCTGTTGGTGGCGGTTTGGAGCATCTCCTTGACCAATCGGTCGAGTTTGCCTAGCTCGACCGAGTCCATTGCCCAAAGGGTTTCCATTCCCCTCTGGTACATCCATTGTATCAGCAACAAGCACCTCAGGTTCCTCTTGTACCCTCTGTGACCTCTGAACCCTCTTTCTACCCGTTGTAAGTCTAGCTCGACCAAGTCCTCTGTAGACCGACTCGATCGAGTTCGCATACACCTGCAAAAAGAGACAAAAACCCAGCAGTACAATAGAACAGGGGTGGTATAGCTTGATCGTCCAAGTGTGTTTGAAACTCAAATGCAACAAAAATATCCCAAATCGGCAACGGCGCCAAATTGATGATAGTGATATGTGAAGATGATAAGATATGAGGTGGAATGCAACAGGGTAATAAAGATGAGGTGGTGCAATCACAATCAATCAATTCCTCTTAACCATCATAGTCATGTAGTAAAGAGGTTATCAATCCAAAATGGGAAACTTGTCACTCTATGAGAATATGAAACAACAGAAAGTCAAGCAAGCAGTAATAGATTTGAAGTAACACTAACAACCTAAAAATGAAATGCAATGCAATAAAAGTAAATAAAGCAGTAAGCAACAGCTCGACCAAGGACTCGAGTCGAGTGGAACAGAGTACCAGCTCGATCGAGTTTAGGGTCGAGTTGAGAAAACAATAAAGGACGACTTTAACAAGCTAAAGAGAGAATTAGGGTTCAAGACAGGGTTTTGCAATCAAAGGAATCTACACTTAATCAATCTAGCTCTTAAAACTCCTTGTATCAAGGCTTCTCTTGATATTGGGCTTCTCAATGCCTAGCCAACCCTTTCCCAAGGTGAAAGGCTATCAACCAAGGAATGATCTCAGAAACAGGGGGTTAGCCAGTGAGAATCAAACCTTGGAGGCCATAGGATCATTGCCCAAACTAATCCATCCAACCCCTTAGACCTCTATTTCTAGAGCAAGAGATATTGGAGCTCTTAGTGGATCTTTTCCAGCGAATGCCATCACTTCGTGTGGGGAATCGCCTAAGGACTTACAAGCCAGGGGTAGTGGTCATGTAGCCTTAAGATCTATCCAAAAGAGAGAGAATCTAGATTAAGACCATAAGCTAGAAGGATTAAGCATATGAAACCTCTAATCTATCCCATCTCAAACCCTAATGGGTAACTACTCACTACACATGAATGTAAACACAAGCAAATGCAATAAAAGAGACATCATAAGAAAGAGGAGATGAAATTAAACAACTTTTATTGAAATAAGCAAGTGCAAATACAAAAGAGATTATCCAGGATCTAGGATTCAAGAAGCAAGAGCTTCAAGAACACAAAGATGGGATTAGAGCTCTAAAAGTAAAAGACAATAAATTAAAAGAAACTAAAACAAAAGTAATCTAAAGCTTGGTGGTTTTTTCGTGGCTTAGCCTTTAAATACAAGAGGATTAGGTTTAGGGTCAAAGGAAAGTCAAGGGGGAAGCAACATTTTTCGGGTTTGACTTTGACTTCTCAGCTCGATCGAGTTGAAGCTTGGCCGGTCGAGTTGAGGAACTCGACCGGTTGGTCGAGTAGGTGGTCGAGCTGGTCTTCAAGATGGCTTCTCCCTTCTTCCTTTGCGTATCCAGTTGAGCTGCGTCCATGTGCCAAGTCCCTCCATGCTCCTCTGTCCCATATGCTCCAGAATGCTCCAAAAGACCTATTTCAAAGGACCAAACATGCATATGTATGCAAATGCAACCTAAAACTACTATGAATGCATAAGAAGAGAAAAGGAACAAGATATGATGCTAATGGATGCTAAAACTATGCAAAAGATGCATAAAAGATGTACTAAAACTATGTAAAATGCAAGTACATCAGTTGCTCAAACCGCTGAAGCAGTGAAGAGACCCCATGGAGCACTTCCTGGGAAAGGAGAACAAAACCCCAGGAACGAGTATGTTGCACAAGTCGAGCTGTGAAGTGGGAGGAAGCTATTACCTGCTGCGGTTCCTCCGAAAAGAGCAGGCAAGGAGAAAGCCGACGAGAACCATGAAGATGAGAGTGAAGTTGATCGAGCTGCCTATAGCGGAGTCGATCGAACTGGTGATGACGCTTCGTCGTCTCAGGAACCTGTAGCTGACCTACCTACTCCTCCATCTGCAGAGACTGCTCCAGCCAGAGCTTACACACCTAAAGTGCCTTACCCTGTTCTGCGGAAAAAGTCCAAAAAAGACTTGGAGGATGCAAAGTGTAAGGAGATGTTGAAGGACTTGACTGTGAAGCTGCCTCTGTCTGATGCTTTTCAGATGATTCATGCTGTGAAGAAGTACATGAAGGAGCTAATATCTGGGAAAGTAGCTGAAGATGAGAATGTCATGTTAGTGTCAGAGGAGTGCAGCGCTGTGCTGCAAAACAAGGTGATCAAGAAGAGGAGCGATCCAGGAAGATTTGTTTTGTCAGTGCATATAGGCCGCATGACATTCGCATGCTCTCTTTGCGATCTTGGCTTGAGCGTGAACCTGATGCCATATTCTGTGGCCAAGCGACTGGGATACACCAAGTTCAAACCCACGAAAGTCTCCTTGGTTTTGGCAAGCTCAGAACCACAGGCTTGGAAGGTACAATGTACTCAGAAGTTACAGCACTTTATTTGGCAAGCTTTGACGGGTTGTATTGCGGTAGGGGCGAGACTCCACAGCCGCGGCATGCAGATAGACCCACAATGTATGCGGTGTGGGATGGCGGCTGAAACAGTGAACCATACATTGTTTGAATGCCCACCGGCACTGCAAGTTTGGGCTTTATGTCCAATTCCAACGGCTCCAAAGCGTTTCCCTACAGAGAGTTTGTTTGCAAACCTGGCATACCTTTTTTGGAATTTGTCAGACGACGATAGAATGCGGATGTATCCTTGGTTAATTTGGTATATCTGGAAATCACGAAATGATAAGGTTATGGCGAATGTGGATTGGGATCCTAATGAAATAATAATCAAAGCAACAGCGGAATCTTCGGCATGGGTAACCGCCCAGGAGAAGAATGGAATATTAAGTCCACCACTGACAAGTTCAGGGGAATCCCTCAGCACGAGTGATATATGTCAAGTAGATGGGGCTTGGAAGGAGTCAGATAGTCGAGCTGGACTAGGCTTGTTTTATTTGAACAGGAATACTCAGGAAAAACTAATGGGAACCCGTAATCTGAGAAGGGGAATATCGCCCCTCCAAACGGAGTTGGAGGCGCTTATTTGGGCTATGCACTGTATGCTGAGGCATAATAAGTTGCTAACGCGATTTGAGACGGATTGCTCTGATGTGGTGAAGATGGTGTCTACGCCAGAGGAGTGGCCAGCGTTCGCAATACTCCTTGACGAGGTTGACCGATGCAAACGGAGGTTTACCTCCTTCTCCATTGCGCACATACCGAGGACGAAAAACACGAAGGCAGACAAGTTAGCACGAAGTGCTCGAGCTCTACCTACTGATGTGTACTATGTAAACTCTGTTTCGCCAACTTGGATTCCCGAGCTGGTTTAGAGATAGAGGCTGTCGACAAAAAAAAATAAAAAAATAAAAAATTGTTTTTCCTCATTATTAATTCCAAAAACTGATAATGGTTTTATTGTTTTTTTACTTATTAAAAAATTTAATTTTCAAAGTTTTAAAAACAAGTGTTAGTTTTCAAATTAGAATTTTTTTTATTAATCTAACTCTCCCTTTTTTCTCTTTGTTATTTTATTTTTAAAAAATCAATGTGATTTCTGTATATGTTAAAAAATATATTAATCTCTATTTTGACTGTTAAATTTGGCAAATTTGGCATTATAAAGCGTATTAGGACAAAATATGGTAAAAAAAGGTTATGTGGACAAGAGGAGAGTTTTTTGATCCCCTTTTGCCAAATTTCGGAAAGATCAGGCAGCCTTGCTTGGGTAGCTAAAGTCAGAATATTTGGAGGATTATGTTAAGAAGATTAGTGGTGAGTTTATAAATAAAGAGAGTGATAAGAGTGAACAACGCGTGGCAACAGACAGCGCTAAATCTTTTATTTGGAACAAATCATGTTTTACGTTTTAGGAATTATATATGACTGACCTAAATGTTGATTACATTGTACATGCATGCATATTTCAAATTCAATCCATTTTATGATTTTTTAACTTATGGGGGAATATTTCCCATATGATTTGCATAAGGAAACACGTGACTAGTCTAGCTATATGTAGATGACTCAGGCTGATACAATTGGCACGAATATTGCAGGTGAGTCATCTAGATATAGCTAGACTAGTCACGTGTTTAGTTATGGAAATCATAATGGAAAAATTCCCCCATAAGTTAAAAAATCATAAAATGGATTGAATTTGAAATATGCATGCATGTACAATGTAATCAACATTTGGGCGAGTCATATATAATTCCTAAAACGTAAAACAAGATTTGTTCCAAATAAAAGATTTAGCGCTGTATGTTGCCACGCGTTGTTCACTCTTATCACTCTCCTTGCTAATAAACTCACTCTTATCGCTCTCCTTGCAAAATCAAGAGCAGCTAAAGTCAGAAAATTGGGGATTCTCAGTTTGAATTTTCCGCCCTCGAAGAAATGAAGGATTCCTTGAAGTAAATTCTTGAAATAATCACAGACGGCAATCGACTCAATTTTCCGGAAACAAGATTGAATTGCGCGACTCAGTTCCATGGAGGCCAAATTGGAAGCGATACTAAAGTTGTGTGTCGATAGAAAAAAGTAGAGCAGCACAGCGCAACAACATGAAGCATAAAGATGTTACGGTAAATGTTTCTAAACCTGGGAATGATTATGAAATTCGAACTCAGGAGGATGTGGTGAAGAAAAAGAAAAGAAAAGCTAGAATTGTCTATTTCTCGATGTGATTGGTTAATTGTGAGAATATTCCACATCGGGAGTTTAGATGGGACTTAAGTGATATATAAGGGATGCCCAAGAAACTTATCATAATTAGTGGAGAAAAGATACGGATGATGAGAAATTGCGGTTTAATTCGATGAGTTTGAATGTGTAAGTGCTTTGATTGGTATAATTGTCAAATTCAGGACGATCTTGTGCGGTTATTTGATCGATTTGGTTTTCTGTTTGTTGTGAGTGTGAGAGTGAGCGAGACACTCTAGAATCAATCTCTGCAGCTTGTTTGGTGAGTCGTTATTGAATAAGATTGAGGCTACGTCTTTCATCTTGTATCAGATTATTATTATTGATATAACCAATATAGAATTTCGTGAACCCAGATGCCGGTGACAGTGGAACACATCAAGTCGACAAACTATGTGGTTATTTGTTGATGGAACAAAAGTTTATTGGAATTGAATCTTCATATATAGTTGTGATTTCTGGAAAAAAGCATTAGAGAAGACACAAGGAGATGAAATCTTACAGATCTTGGAAAAGCGGGAGGTAAAGGAGGGGCGTTTTTTTGTTTTGGCCATAGAAAGTACCAAAATTTTCCGACAAGAAATGGAATCAGAAGCAGATAAAGTGGAGCCCATAACTTAGAAGCGGCGCTTTTTACATTTTCCTGATTTTTGTTTTGTTTAATTTAATGTATAAAGGTTTCTTTATATATATATATATATATTTATATATAAATATATACTGTTAGATATAGGGAAACTAGATAAAACCACCATTCATGATTAAAATTTAAGACAATGATTGGTCAACCAAAAGAAAAGAAAACTAAGTAAATAATTAATTGTGGTTGAAAACAAAGTTTATTTACTGTCCAAATTAAAAAAAAAAGTATGGAAGATATTTGTTTGTTTGTTAAATTAATTGTCTTTGTCCCATTTTGGTACATATCAAACTAATTCAATAAAAAAACAAATATATATATATATATATATATATATTTTTTAATTTGGACACAGAAACTTATTTTTCAACCACAATTAATTATTTACTTAATTTTCTTTCCTTTTCATTGACCACAGTCATTGTCTTAAATTTTAATCATGAACTGGTGGTTTTATTTTGTTTCCTTATTTCCAATTATATATATACAGTAGAAACTCTATAAATTAATAAAGTTGGGACTTTGATATTTTATTAATTTATAGAGTTATTAAATTATCGATCTTGAATAAAATAGGTTTTTTTTTAAAATATAATTAAAATAAAAATTAGATTAAATAAAAATAAAAAATTTTAAAAGTTTATTATATTTTGTGTAGGGTTCATTCTAAAATTATGGATGAATTCTAAATATATTTGAGTTCTAGTAAAAAAGAAGTGAAAATTATACTTATATTTAAGTATATTATCATAGATATGTATTTACATAAAATTATTTATGGTAATTATTAATTTTTTCGGTTCCATGAGTGAGATGGACTGAGTAGCTAGAGGTTGTGGCGCGAGAGGGCGCGGTGCTTGAGGCCGTGGTGGCAGAGCTAGAGGCCGTGGAGGCGGGGCCGAGATTGTGGACTTCGGCGGATTCGGGAGAGAGTGTGGTGCCGAGTGTGGCGACTGCGTCGGTGACCCAGTCGGTATCCGTGGCGAGTGAGGCCAGTGTGGATGCGAGTGTTGGTTTGGGAGCGGGGCTGCTCCGGGTTGGGGTGGTGCTCCGGCTCAGGGTCTTGATGACTTAGTGGTGGGTTTGCTGACGCAGTTATTGGCTCGTTTTCCGCCAGTGGTTCCACAGGGGCTCCGGGAGTACCTCCAGTGGCAGAGGTGCAGCAGAGGGCTGCGGGATTTGTTCAGCCGCAGGCTGTGGGTTTGATGGTGCCGTCCTATTGGATATGTGGGGCACATGCAGAGGATTGGTACGCCGTACTTTGAGGGCGGAGTTAGCCCAGAGGCGGCAGATGAGTGGCGTTAGAGATTGGAGCGGAATTTCCAGTCTATCAGATTTCTGGTTTAGTACCAGGTTGAGTTGGCAGTCCACTATCTGAGTGGAGATGCACATTTGTGGTGGCGGGCCATCGAGGGCATAATGGTTGTTGTTGTTGTGTGTTGTTCATCTGTGATAGTTGTGGAGGTTCTCAACGCAATTGTTGTAATGACCTTGTTAGTGGGCGGTTTTGAGTCCCACGTTTTATTCGACTCTGGAGCATCGAATTGCTTCATTACACCGGAGCGTGCCGAGAAGAGTGGCATCCGGAGTAGCGCGGGCGAGAGCGCGGGCATGGTCAAGGTGGCGGGAGGTGGATTCTTGTCTACTTTGGGCCGTGCTAGAGGAGTCGAGATCGAGATTGCGGGGCAGTCAATGCCAGCAGACTTAGTCATCAGTCCGGTGGAGCTGTATGACGTTATTCTCGGGATGGACTGGTTGTCACACTACAGAGTTCATCTGGATTGCTACAGAGGTAGAGTGGTCTTCGAGCGAGATGCAGGGAGGTTGGTTTATCAGGGAGTGAGACCGACTTCCGGGAGTATTGTGATATCTGCTATTCAGGCCGAGCAGTTGTTAGAGCGGGGCTGTGAGGCGTATCTGGCGACGATTTCTATGTCTGAGTCAGGAGCTGGAGTTGTTATGGGAGATATTGAGGTTGTCCAGGATTTTGAGGATGTCTTTCAGTCACTGAAGGGATTACCACCATCTCGGTCTGATCCTTTCACGATTGAGTTAGAGCCGGGGACAGCACCGATATCGAAGACGCCTTACAGGATGGCGCCAGCTGAGTTGGCAGAGCTGAAGAAGCAGATAGAGGACCTTTTGTCTAAGGGGTTCATTCGACCGAGTGTTTCACCGTGGGGAGCACCGGTGTTGTTTGTGAAGAAGAAGGATGGCAGTTTCAGACTTTGTATCGATTACAGAGGTCTTAACCGAGTCACTGTGAAGAACAGGTACCCACTCCCGAGGATTGATGAGTTGTTGGATCAGTTGAGGGGTGCTACTTGGTTCTCCAAGATTGACTTGGCATCGGGGTATCATCAGATCCCGATAGATGAGGCAGATGTCAGGAAGACTGCTTTCAGGACGCGTTATGGGCATTTTGAGTTTGTGGTTATGCCTTTCGGTTTGACTAACGCGCCGGCAGCCTTCATGAGATTGATGAACGACGTGTTCAGGGAGTATTTGGACGTGTTTGTCATCATTTTCATTGATGATATTCTGGTATACTCGAGGAGTCAGGAGGAGCATGCGACTCACTTGAGGTTGGTTCTGGAGAAGCTTCGGGAGCAGAAGCTTTTTGCTAAGTTGAGCAAGTGCAGTTTCTGGCAGCGAGAGATGGGATTTCTTGGCCACATTGTTTCTGCAGAGGGAGTTTCTGTGGATCCGGCTAAGATTGAGGCTATCAGAGATTGGCCTAGACCTAGTAGTGCCACCGAGATCAGGAGTTTTCTGGGTTTGGCAGGATACTACAGGAGGTTCGTCAAGGGGTTTGCTACCATGGCGCAGCCGATGACGAAGTTGACCGGGAAGGATGTCCCTTTTATTTGGTCAGCTGAGTGTGAGGAGAGCTTTAGTCAGCTCAAGGAGATGTTGACTACTACACCAGTGTTGGCGTTACCCGAGCCAGGGAAGCCTTACATGGTGTATACAGATGCTTCAGGCATTGGTCTTGGTTGTGTGCTGATGCAGGAGGGCAGAGTGATAGCATATGCTTCGAGACAGTGGCAGGGCAGTGAGCGTAACCGTCCTACACATGACTTAGAGTTGGGAGCAGTGATCTTCGCGTTGAAGATTTGGAGGTCTTACTTGCTAGGTGAGACAGTACAGGTCTTCACGGATCACAAGAGTTTGCAGCATATCTTCACTCAGCCGATGATGAACGCGAGACAGACGCGCTGGGTTGAGTTCTTGGCGGATTATCAGGTGAGCATTAACTACCATCCGGGCAAGGCTAACCTAGTGGCGGACGCGTTGAGTAGACGGAGGTATGATTCCGCAGTTGAGCGAGATGTGGAGTCTCTAGTTGGCGAGATCAGTACCTTGCGTTTGTGTGCCATTTCGCAGGAGCCTTTGGGTTTAGAGGCAGTGGATCAGGCGGATCTACTTAGCAGGATCAGAGTTGCTCAGCAGAGTGATCAGAGTTTGCTAGATGCGACGAGAGTGACTGGTTCTGAGTATGAGGTCTCTGCGAATGGGACTATCTTGGTTCGTGGGCGAGTTTGTGTGCCTAAGGATGTGGAGTTGAGACATCAGATTTTGGGAGAGGCTCACGCGAGCAAGTTTTCCATTCATCCGGGAGCGACCAAGATGTACCATGACCTCAAGAGGTACTATCATTGGGTCGGGATGAAGAGGGATGTAGCAGACTGGGTTGCGAAGTGCAACACTTGTGCCTTGGTGAAGGCAGAGCATCAGGTTCCGGGTGGTCTTTTGCAGAGTTTACCCATTCCCGAGTGGAAGTGGGACAGGATTACGATGGATTTCGTGGTTGGACTACCTGTTTCGAGGACTTTCGATGCTATCTGGGTGATTGTGGATCGGTTGACTAAGTCCGCACATTTCTTGGCCATCAAGAAGACAGATGGAGCTGCTGTCTTGGCTAGGAAGTTTGTGCGAGAGATTGTGAGGCTGCATGGAGTGCCAGCTAGTATTGTGTCAGACCGTGATCCCAGATTCACTTCAGAGTTTTGGAGGGCGTTTCAGGCAGAGATGGGCACTAAGGTGCATCTGAGTACAGCTTATCATCCGCAGACAGATGGTCAGTCAGAGAGGACTATTCAGACTTTGGAGGATTTGCTGAGGATGTGTGTGTTGGATTGGGGTGGCCATTGGGCAGATCACCTGAGCTTAGTTGAGTTTGCATACAACAACAGCTTTCAGGCGAGTATTGGCATGGCTCCATTTGAGGCTTTGTATGGGAGGCCATGTAGGACACCCCTATGCTGGACCCAAGTGGGGGAGCGCAGCATGTATGGAGCTACTTATGTTCAGGAGACGACAGAGAAGGTTCGTGTTGTGAGGCTGAACATGAAGGAGGCTCAGGATAGGCAGAAGAGTTATGCAGATAGACGCAGACGAGAGCTTGAGTTTCAGGTGGGAGATAGAGTTTATCTCAAGATGGCTATGTTGAGGGGTCCTAACAGATCCATAGCAGAGAACAAGCTGAGTCCGCGTTTTATGGGTCCGTTTCCAGTAGTGGAGCGAGTTGGGCCATTGGCTTACAGGCTGGAGTTGCCTGAGATTATGAAAGCCTTTCACAAGGTTTTTCATGTGTCGATGCTGAGGAAGTGTCTTCACCCTACAGAGGAGTTAGTGGCTAGGATTCCAGAGGATCTTCAGCCAGATTTGACAGTGCCGGCAGTGCCTGTGAGGATTTTAGAGAGGAGGGAAAAGGTTCTGAGGAACAAGAGGATTCCCTTACTGAGGATTTTGTGGGATTGCAGTGGTTCTACAGAGGAGACTTGGGAGCCAGAGGCAAAGATGAAGTTGAAGTTCAGGAAGTGGTTCGACAAGCAGGTCGAGGAGTGAGCTTATTTCATCTTTGTAGCCTCAGTTGTTATTTTTGGCTTTGGTGTTATTGTATTTTCGTTTTCGTTGTAACGATATACATTTTGGAGTTTTAATGAGATGCAGTTTTTCCTCATTTTGCCTTGTGTTGTGAAATGGTATTCGGATGTTACACATGTTTGACCAGTTTTTGGTTGTGAGACGGTCTAATCTTATGGTTATAGACATTTTCCGGAATTTTTACTCTAAGGATTGCGATCCTGAATAACTCATCATGTTTTTGGAGACTTCGTTCTCTGGCAGACTCTCTGGGTGCAAGTAGGCCTCAGTTGAGTGTAGCTTATCTGGGTGCAAGTAGGCCTCAGTATAAGCAGTTTAGTTCATCTGGGTGCAAGTGGGCCTCAGTATGGACGTTTTCGGGTTCGTCTGGGTGCAAGTGGGCCTCAGTGCGGACCGGTGTGGACTTGTCTGGGTGCAAGTGGGCCTCAGTACAAGTGTTTGGTGTGTTTGGATGATGAGTTAGGAGTGAAATTTTCTTGGAACGTGTTTATGACATAAGATTGACGTTTGTCTCGGGGATCAGTGAGGATCTCCGTGTTGCGGCCTTGCGAGGTCGGGTTTTGTGGTCTTTGTGACGTTTGCGTTGGGATTCGAGGACGAATCCAGTTTAGTGGGGGAGAGTTGTAACATCCATAAACCAAAAATTGAAATTGATTTTGGTTCAATTTAAGTGAATTGGTTTGGGTCGGTTTAGTGGAGAAAGCCCTAAAATCAAGTTTAAAGAGTGCAGCCGTCTTCTCAGAATTTTCGAGGCAGAGAAGGAGAAAAGGATTTTGAGAGTTTTCGATTTTACTGTTCATCGGTACTGTTCACGGTTACTGTTCATCGGTACTGTTCACGGGTTACTGTTCATCGTACTGTTCATCCGCGATTCGGCACTGTTCATCGTCTTTCCTTTTTCCTTCAGTTTCAATCAATTGTCAAGGTGAGTGCATGACTGTGGGTCCGCGATTTGCTAGATTAGATTTGGTTTGTGGTTGTTCTTGATGAGTTTATGTTTTAATTGTTATTTTATGATATTTTGGTTGTTTATGTGATGAATTGTGTGTTTGTGTGGTTTAATCTGGTTTAATTGAATTTAATTGATTTAATTGGTTTATCTTGGTTCAATTGATTTAATTCTGGTTTTTGGTGTAATTGAATTAAAATTGTTTTAATTAAATTGTTTGATTTATTCGGATTTAATTAATTAATAATTTAATTAATTAATTGATTTAAAATAATTATTTTAATTATTTTAAAATATGGAAAATTATTATTTAATTATGAGAATTATTTAATAATTGAGAAATTGAGTTTTAATTATTAAAAATTATTTAATAATTGGAAAATGGTATTTAATAATTATTGGAGTTTATAAATATTATTAAATATCTAGTAAATTGCGTAAATGGCTCGTAGGCAGAGTGATTGCCTCACTAAGTATTTATTAAATACTTACGCAACTCCATTCCAATGTGTTGCAGGTAAAAGATTTGTGTGATCGCGGAATCAAGGCTGAAGAGGGGGATGATAGGATGTTTACTGTTTTATTGTTTTGCATTATTTTGCTAGACTTGTTTAATTATTATTTGCTTCCGCTGAGCTGATTTATTTGTTATTGATATTTTATTTATTTAATTTATTTTAAGACCTTCGCTAGAATTGTTATATTTAATATTTATTAAAAAAAAAAATGTTGGTTGATTCATTAACCATGTAAATTAATAGCAATACAAAATTCTGAGTGAGACGTAGATCAGCCCTCTAGTACATATATAAGAAAAAGAGAAACAATGATCAATAAATTTAAAATCTTAGTAGAGATATCCATAGAACATATGTTTATCATCATACCTACTTTAATTATTTTGTATTTAAAAGTTTACATATCTAATTCCAAACGATTAACAATAAAACTAAAATATGAAAATGATGAGATAATTGAAGAAGTGATAATATGAACCTAAAACATTATACACGTACAAGAAATCAAATAAAAATCAAAATGTAAGACTTTATTATTAATAAAAATATACCTTTGGTAAATCGTTAACCAGATTTGAGATCTTTTCTTTCATGCCATTAAAAGCGCCTAAATTATTTTCTCTTCTGGCAGATATGAAAGATTTAAAGAAAATATTAGACTTTGTGACTTATATATAATAAAAAAATAACCTAGCTGTAGAAATAATTGAACGATGTCTCATATGATATATATATATATCGATTCTTAGTTCCTTACCCATATGCTGTCTTAGGTTCATGTTATAAATGCAACTATACAATTATCAATGAATAACTTTTTTAACCATGTAAGTTAATAGCAATACAAAATTCTAAGTGAGACGTAGATCAGCCTTCTAGTACATATATAATACATATATAAGAAAAAGAGAAACAATGATCAATAAATTTAAAATCTTAGTAGAGATATCCATAGAACATATGTTTATCATCATACCTACTTTAATTATTTTGTATTTAAAAGTTTACATATCTAATCCCAAACGATTAACAATAAAACTAAAATATGAAAATGATGAGATAATTGAAGAAGTGATAATATGAACCTAAAACATTATACACGTACAAGAAATCAAATAAAAATCAAAATGTAAGACTTTATTATTAATAAAAACATACCTTTGGTAAATCGTTAACCAGATTTGAGATCTTTTCTTTCATGCCATCAAAAGCGCCTAAATTGTTTTCTCTTCTGGCAGATATGAAAGATTTAAAGAAAATATTAGACTTTGTGACTTATATATAATAAAAAAATAACCTAGCTGTAGAAATAATTGAACGATGTCTCATATGATATATATATATATCGATTCTTAGTTCCTTACCCATATGCTGTCTTAGGTTCATGTTATAAATGCAACTATACAATTATCAATGAATAACTTTTTTAACCATGTAAGTTAATAGCAATACAAAATTCTAAGTGAGACGTAGATCAGCCTTCTAGTACATATATAATACATATATAAGAAAAAGAGAAACAATGATCAATAAATTTAAAATCTTAGTAGAGATATCCATAGAACATATGTTTATCATCATACCTACTTTAATTATTTTGTATTTAAAAGTTTACATATCTAATCCCAAACGATTAACAATAAAACTAAAATATGAAAATGATGAGATAATTGAAGAAGTGATAATATGAACCTAAAACATTATACACGTACAAGAAATCAAATAAAAATCAAAATGTAAGACTTTATTATTAATAAAAACATACCTTTGGTAAATCGTTAACCAGATTTGAGATCTTTTCTTTCATGCCATCAAAAGCGCCTAAATTGTTTTCTCTTCTGGCAGATATGAAAGATTTAAAGAAAATATTAGACTTTGTGACTTATATATAATAAAAAAATAACCTAGCTGTAGAAATAATTGAACGATGTCTCATATGATATATATATATCGATTCTTAGTTCCTTACACATATGCTATCTTAGGTTCATTATAAATAAAATATTGATTTAAAATTAAATAAAATAAGCAGGCATTTTAAAACATAACAAAAAAAAAGGAAAAACGCATAAGGCATTGCAGAATTAATATCATGTTAAATTTCTTCAAATTAGGTGTTCATAGCTCATGATATTTACGATAAAGAATCTAATGTGCACCAATAACTCTATAAGGAATCTATTGCTTGATTTGTTTTCACCTCTGATTTTGAAATCTAGTTTTTATTCATGTTTTCTCTGTGTCTAAACTGATTTAGCTTTGGCTTATCTACCGAAAACGATTGCTAAAGGAACTAATATTTTATCTAGCACATTAATAATCTATTAAACAAAAAAACTTTGACTTAGTTTTGATAAATAAGTTTGAGAAAACAAAATTCCTAGGAAAAAATAATAAGACCTCAATCGAATTAAGTTTTTTTTGTTAAACACCATTAGCAAATGTTAATCCTGAAACATGTTTTCTACTTTATTTGATAACTCAACATTTAACTTGTGCATAGGGACAAGTCATCTAGTATCAAAATCCATCCATTTATATTAGAAACAAGAAATCAAACAAAAACAAATAAGAGAAACAATGAGAAATAATGAAAAAAAAAAACATAACTTTTGGTAAATTCTCAATCAGATTTTAGATCTCTTCTTCCATGCCATCAAGAGTGCCTTTCAATTATTTTACGTCTTACAGTGGAATGAGAACTGTAGAGAAAAAATTAGAGTGTGTGACTCTTATATAAAACAAAATCAAAATTTATATGTAGATGAACAAAACATACCTTTTGGTGAATTTTTCACCCGATTTGAGATATCTACTTTCACGCCATCAAAAGTGCCTAGCTATGATTTTTTTCTCGTACGGCGGAAATGAAAACTGCGGAGAATAATTTAGAGTTCCCGATTCTTATATAATACAGAAAATAACCTAGATGTTAAAGAAATAGAACGACGTCGCATGTGATATAAAAATGTATCCTTACCAAAATGGTGTAATATTTTCACTAGAAATATAATACTGATTTAAACCAAAAAGATTGAATGGGCCTATGATATTTTTGTATGAAAGTTTTTAGAAAGACCCTATTTTTTAATTTTGTGTCGGACACCAAATATTTTAGTCTCGGGCCTACAACCAGCTCCTGATTTTTGTGGTGAGAAGAAGTGCAGATACATGGTCTCTAGAGTGCTTGTGGTCTAATTAGTGCTCTCAATTGATAAGTGAACATTATCTCATTTCCCATTTCACTGATTTTCGCAACATTCTTGAAAAAACATGACAGAATACTTTAGTAGTCTCATATTACTGGTTTTCAGAGTTTTATAGCTGGTATAAGATTTTTATGATGGTGTATATAATTTGTATGAGATGATGAGTTTAATATGTTATTACCCTGGTCTTGTTGAGCAAACCAAGGTAATAACGGACAATCTTGTTGAGAAGATATATGTGCAATTTTCAGTACAGCGGACAAGGGAAAGACTGAAACATTGAACAAGAAAGAGTTCAAAGGTGTGGTGACCTACATATGCCAGAAATACCCTCAGGTCGAGGTCAACATAAAAAAGTTTAAGCGAACCTTGGCGGCAAGATGTTTCTATTAAATTATGGAACTTGTTTAAAATTTGGTTGATATATTTCTATATTAGGAGTCTAGGACGAAATATACTACTCTAGGCACTAACTTCTCATGATCGATGCGTATTGCAAAGCTGGAGATGTGCTTGAGTCGACGCAGTATCTTTGTTAGATGATTGAAGCTGGTTTGAGTCCTAATCTTTACACATTTACATCTTCGATTCTTGGTCACACTAGAAAACACGACAAGGATGCAGCTTCTCTGGTTCTTAAAGAGATGGTCGATCATACGTGTGGAGGACGCTATGAGGATCTCATATTCGGATTTTGTGAAATTGGGAATATGGAGATAGCAAATAAGTTGTTGGATCAGATGCTTAAAGAAGAAGAAACTCCGAGTGATTATCTGTTTATTGTTGATGCAGTGCTGACCGAGGTTTAGAACATGTCATCACAGATGAAGATACAGTTGACTGAAGGACTTCGCGTATCCGTCAAGAAGTAGTACAGAGAGTCGTGTTCATGTTCAGAAAAAGGGCTTAAGGAATCGATCTGATGGGCTGGACATTTGCTTGTAGCTGAGGAGGCGAGTCTAGAAGATTCTAGAAGAGTCAAGAGCTAAGTTGGACGAAGAGATTCGAAGCTATCAAGCAACTAGGAATATTTCCTTTTCCTAGAGAAAATTAAGGAAAGAGATATTCTCAAGAAGATTTGGAGTGATCTCTAAGGAGAAACCTTGTAGGGTTTCAAGACGTGCCTATTGTGGAAAAATAGGGCGTGGAGAGCATTGGATGTGCTCAACCCATACATTCGAAGATGCCTTAGCATAAGGTTTTAGGGTTCTAGTAGGAAGACCAAACAAAGGGATAAGGGCATTGTTTGAGTGTATCCATCTAGGAGAGAATGGTAGGCATTGTAGTGCTGAATACCATAGCAATTGCAATTGCAATCTTGTTCTAGTGGATTCTGGACGAGGTCCGGGGATGTAGGAAACAAACCTCGATAAAAAACTCTATGTGTCTTTACTACTATTAATGCTCGTACTTCTTTTTGTATCATTCACAGTCCGCGTCGGTACCCCATGCACTTTCATTTATTGCACTTGTTGGTTGTTGCTGCAAGATGCAAAAGTATGGTGAGGCTCTGAAGATTGTGGAGGATATGATTCGTTTTGGTCACTCACTCATTGTGGAGTGCCAAGGTCTAGGGGCCTCTTTAATATTAATATTTTTTATTAGAAATTTAAATTAAAAAATCTTATATATAATAGGAGAGTTACTCTCTCCATCTAGACTATCCACATCAGCAAAAAAGTTCATTAAATTATTTTTGAGATATTTAATACATGACTATTCATATTTCTTTACCTATATTTATATTTTTAAATATAAATAAAACTAAGAAAAATACACAATAAATTACTTAATTAATATAAAGTATGTGATAACTTGATGTTAAAAGTTATCAAAAAGTTTGGATATAAGTAAAAATATATTTAACTTGAAATGATATATATTTACCTTTTTATTAAAAGGATTTATCCTACTTCAAAATGTTATAATGTGTTTACAAGTTAAAAGGTTGAATATAAATTAATTAAGATAATAAAAAACCAATGAGAAATTAGAGTTAGAATTTGCTTTTTTAAACAAATAGAAGTTGACATGTTTGTTTCCAAATATATTCAGTTACAAAACTAACATAATAGAAAATAATCAATGGTCATGAGGCTCATATGCTACCACAAAAAAGTAGATATGTGTAAAAGTATATATATTATTTTTTCATCTTATTTCGGTGCAAATGCGATTTTACATTATACTTACAAATTTTAACACTGAGTCAAATACATATGCATGTTTATAGTCTAACAGAAGTAAACAAACATAATATTTATAACTTGCTAAAATGTTAGAAATAGAAAATTCGAGATAAAGTGGGGTGTTAAAATTCTAATAAAATAAAATAAAAGGACACGCGATGTGAAATAAAGTATAAATAAAACTAAACAGAAAACTATTGCAAACAACCCCGCGCTTGTGCGGTTCAAACCTAGTAATAATAATAAAAGCAAGAATGTGAAGGAAGCTGAACTTGGGTAATGCACCTCATATGGAACTACTGAAACCACTAGTATATGATAAGTTTTTGTTAATTGGGGGCCTTTATAAATATATATCTTGGGGGTCTAGTGCAAATGCACTTTTTTTTAACACTACAGCACGGCTCTGCATTTTAGTATAGTAAAATGTTGGTTTGCAAGCTGTTTGACAGAGGAGACAAAGAGAAAGCAGAATCAGTTATCCAGAAGATGATTCGCTCTGCCTTCTATGATGACGAAGTAGCTTGTGAAAACTGGCTTGATCTTCGGGAAGAGTGACTGATCTTAACGTTGCAATCAGTTGATGATGGTGCCTTGAGGCTCATAGGCCTTCTCTGTTTTGGGACAGGATACAACACAAACATCCTCTGCTTTGTTGTAACAATATTTTTAAATAAAAATAACTTATATTCTAAAAGGATAATTTTTAAACAAATACTATAAGATCCATAATGATATCCTCACCAAATTGTCTTGTTTTTTTTTTTGTTTTTGAATTTGTCTTTTACCGCTGTTGTCAAATATAAAACTAATCACATAAAAAATTTAGAAAACCATTAAAAAAAACAAAACAAAGACAGCACTTAAATGTATAAAAAGGAAAAAAATACTTACGTATAACACATTAGAATGTATATGAATTTCAAAGTACTATGGGAATATAAGCGCCTTGTATAAAAAAGAATTCAATCAAACTACTATATCATTACAAATTTGTAAATCTTGGATTCTTGATAACCTTCAAATTCTTGAGACGTGAGATACTGTTAGTAACACCAACACTAGTCAAGTATTTACACACGAACAAGTCAAGATACTCTAGATTCGAACAAGTTTTACAAAGAAAGGAAAGACCTTTATTGTTCATTGGGGAGAATCGAAGTTCCAGATGCTTCAGCTGTCGCATGTGTCTCACAATTGTATGAGCATCAGCATTCCCATAAATGTAGATAGCAGTTTTCTCCACATAGGTATGAGGTACGAACCTCGTGTGCTCTAACCTCTCGACCTCGCAAGGATCCCACCATTTCGATACACTCACTAGATATTTTGTAAACAGCAGCTTATATCAAGTTCCTTAAGGCTAGGGCAGTTTAAGGCTATCTCCCACATCGACTTATCCGTAACTTTTGGGCTATACTTAACACAAAGTACCTGAAGATTAGGACACCTACAAAACAAACCAAATCTAATCAATTCAATCTTCCATGGGATAAATTGTAAAACAGGGCATAACGAAAATGTGACGTACCTCTCAGCAACATATGAGATTGACCGATCCGTACAGTGCCAACCTCGAATCTCCCTCAGAGCTCCTTCGCTCCCATCGACAACAGAGCAGAGGAGAGAGTCGATATCATCCTCGAATTCTGGACCCCACAATCAGTTGTTCGAATTAAGGAGAGACGGAAATATATCTTCAAGATCGAAGACCAAGTTGAACGACGGGTATTTTGCACACGTCCATCCACGTCTTGCAGACCAGCAATGGTCCGGTGGATCTTTGCTCCATGCTCAGCCGTGAGAATATGTCGATGAAAAATTGTTAGAGGTGAAATTAGCACATTTCCTTGAGTCCGTCACCATTAGTAAAATCATAAAGCCCAATCCGACTTTAGCCCTAACCTCCTCAACAATATGGCAAGACTTGAGAAGAAAGGCACAATCCATGAGGAAATGTAAACAAAGTCTCATGCCGACTCGAGGAATGGAAGGAAATCGAGAACAAGAGGAAGTTTTCCATATCGCAAAAGAGGAAGTTTTCCATCTCGCCGGAAGGAAAATATTCATCAAGAAGCCGACCTATCAACACTATATAATAAAGACTTTCCATTTGTGGAAAGGCATCCAGCATATCCGGGAATCATTCGAAATCACCAGAAATTCAGCTAAAAGAAATCTAGGCATTAGAACTCTCCTTGTTTTTCCTCTTGTTCGCTATTGTTCGTCTCGTCAGGCCTGTTGACGAGACCACTTCCTTTGTAACCTCTTTTATATTCTTCGAGTTAATCAAGCACCCAGTTCCCTAAACTAACATCTTTGGGATCCCGTCTTTACGAGTGCTATCTCAGATTCAACAATTGGCGCCCACCGTGGGGCTGGGAACGCTTCTCGCTTCTTATCTCGAAGATATCTTGATTTTTACGGAGACACAACGATGGTGAATTCAAAAGAAAACACCCCTACCGATAATCCATCCCGCGAAGAAGGAAACCTTGGCGACGAGCGCGTACCACCAACGGTGGACAAGTCGCTGGATGCCGAGGACAGAGCCAAATCTGTCCCCCCAAGAAGTCGGTCCGCCTCGCCAGATGGCTGATGCCGCCACACGAAGAAATCCTCTTCAAGTGACAAGCTCCGCAAACTCATGGAGAAACTCGTCAAATCGCTAGCTGAAGGCTTCGAGGCAATGCTAGCACAGCAGAAGAAGACCCAATTGCAAGTCGAGGCTCTAGCCTGAGAAGATGACGAGGAACCGTTGAATCCCGCTGCCGCGACGACCAACAGAACCGCGACTCGCCCAGCACGTATCGGTCGACTAGCGACCCTAGAATTCGAACGAATGAACCGCCGCCTCAACGAGGTCGATTCTAAGGTCCATCGTGCCACTAGCTCAGCCCCGGAGTTGACGAAAGCACTTGTCGACACCCGGAAGAGCCCGCTCACTCGCAGACTCCGCCTGATCGATATGCGTGAAAGGATCCGACTCAAGATCGATTCTTACACCGGGGAAGAGGACCCCAAGAAGTGGCTAACCGCGTTCAATCTCGCCTTGACAAGGGAGAGATACAACTCATATGACGAGAAGGAAGCCAACTATTGTCAAGTGTTCGTCGAGCACATGACGAAAGACGCTTTGGTCTGGTTCTCCAACCTGCCTGCCGAGTCGATCGATAATTTTGACGACTTAACCAATGCCTTCCTGAAGAATTACTCCATGCACATGACCCGAGTCACCCAAAACATGTTCACCATGACGCAAGCCCAAGGGCAATCCTTGTGCGAGTTCATGGAAAAATTCAAGGAAGCAGCTCGTGACGTCGGAGATATGCCAGATAGCATACCGCTGGAGGCGCTCCGTAACGGCCTCTAGTACGAATCCAAGTTCAACGAGGACTTATCACTAAGGCCTCCTGCAACATTGGAAGACGCATTTTATCGCTCCCGAAACTTCATCTTCCTCGAGAAGGAAAAAAATTCTACGCCGAGAAGCATGGGGACAAAAGGGTGGCTCCATCGAAATCAAGGGAAGACGCCGTGGAGATACGGAGGAGACCCAATCCCAAGAGATCCCTCCTCACATCATTCGCAGCAACCGATGACGAGTCCGAGCGAGAATCGCAGTATGCCGCGACGATTTTGACGCCCCCGGACGCCACTCCATTCGGAGATGATAACGACATCAACGCATTCTGCAAGTTCCACGGAAGAAACCGGCCACTCCACTGAAAACTGTAAGCATCTCATCAGTAACCTCATCCGCATTTACCATCCGGGAGACATCCCACCAATGGACGGCGAAAAATCCTAAGAGAATGGTTTCGCGCCGAGACCACCCAAATGAACGGAGAAACGCGGAAGACAATTCCGCTCAAAGAAAGACACGGGGAAACCTGATGCACCGTTCGATAAAAGAAACCGCGACAATCTACCACCACCACCAAAACAGCATGTTAGCATGATCATGGTAGGTCTCCTAGATGGCGACGACTCTATATCGGCGACCAAGGAGTACGAACGAAAGGCTGTCGCGGCACAGCGCTACCCATATATCCATAAAGGAATTCCTACAATCTCTTTTACGGATAAGGATGCGGGCGGGCTGGATACCCCTCATCTCGACCCACTCGTGGTCACTTTGCAAATTCATGACTGTGATGTAGCAAAGATTTTAATCGACACCGGCAGCACGGTAAATCTGATCTTCAAAGAGACGTTGGACCGCATGGGAGTAGAAGAGAAATCCATCAAACCCACAGCCCGTCCTCTCACCGGCTTCACCGCCGAGCATGTCTACAGCTGTGGTACAGTACGACTTCCCGTCTATATCGGTGGAATTTCAAAACTAATGAAATTTGTCGTCATGGACAAGCCGGCTATCTACAACGCGATCCTCGGCATGGCATGGCTCCAGGAGATGAAGGCTGTCATCTCTACGTTCCACCAATGCATGAAGTTCCCAACACCGTCCGGGATCTTCACCTTGCGAGGAAACCAGAGAGTGACGAGATCATGCTTCCTCCAAGAACGTAGGCTTCACATTGCCTCGTCTTTCATGATAGCCGAGCCCTCAAATCAATCTCCACCTCCCTGTAAAGAACCCGAACCAATATCTGATGACGAGACCCACAGGCCCAACATGGCAAGGCATGCCACCGTCACAAAAGAAGCAAACCCGCTAGCCGCCCTACGCATAACCAACACCGAGCCCACCTGGAAGTTCGCCGAGCCCACCTGGAAGTCTGACTTGGGGCTAAGCTTGAGCACTAGAAAGCCAAGAAAGCTTCACGACTTATTCGAGCTGGAACAACTCGAAGACGAGCAGCTGCAAAGTTTCCTCAATAGATTCAAGAGTATGCTGCTCGATTTTGACGAGGTCTCGGAAGCATGATGCGGCATCTATGGGATGAGTACAAGTAATAATTCCCTAAGACAACTAGTGTTGCAAGTGCACAACATATAATTGTAGTATTTAGGGGTCGAACCACAAGGGATTGGATTTCACACATTACATAATCATAGAGTTTAAATGATCTAAGCTAAATCAAAATGCAAGGGTTTGTGTTTGTTGAGAACACAAAAGAAATAACAATGCAATTCTATACAAGCAACATTATTGAACTATTGAAAACTCTTTTGAAAACATGAGCCAAGTCGATTGAAAAGTTTGTTAAAATCCGATTCTTTTGAACTCAAAACACTAAGGAAGGATTATTCCACTTTCGTGGTTCCAATCCCCTATGTCTCTTAAACCAATGGGCTCAGCTTTCGTTGGTCATTGTAGAGTGAGACATGCATTACATCCAAGTAATGATTGTTCACAAAACTCTTTAGGTCTACTTTCGTAGCCTAAAACGATTTGCCCATCAAATACTATATCCGGAGATATAACAAGCTTTTGGAGAGTATATCAACCTAAAATCAAGTCACTAGTTAGCTACTCTAGCAACAAGCATTAAGCATAAATAAAGATGGAGAACCATAGGGTTTCCCCTTTTAACAATCGATTTTCGATGGCCATTATATCACGTCCTCATTGGAAGGATCCATAATTCAACAATGAGTCTTAGATAGTAGATGAAGTCTCATGAATCCTTAGAGAGAGAGGCGGCGGAATATGAGTCTAAACCGCCTCACCCTTAGGGAGAAATCTCTACTTCTAGACTATATAAATTGAAACATGCAAGCTATATACAAATGCAAAAGAAGAAAAGAAAGAAGAAGGAGACCACCTAAGTGGCTCCGAACTTTATTGAATAAGTGTTTCTTGTTATGCGGCTGGTGATTCTATTACAAGAGGCTAAAAGCAAGTATATATAGGTAGAGAGCGGGTCTAGGTCGGCAAAGTTGAGCGCGCGCAGAAGAGGAAAGTTTCCATTTCTCTTTAGCCGCTTGAGCTTGCTCTCCAAGTTCTTGAATGGGCCGAGTTCGGGCCAATGGAACGAGCCAAGGCCTTGGGCGCGGTGGCTCGGGCCTCTTGATCCATCAAAGTCTCCATGGGCTCTACTTAGGCGCTCGTCGGACATGTCTTGGTAGAAAATAAGTTCCGGTCCAACGAGTGATCCAAATGACCTCTTTCCACTTCGCGCGGGTCATGACTCAAATATCTATCTTTCCATATAAGAATCATGACTTTTGGACGTCGGGAAGGCATGAATATGCGGTCGTACTTCGGATGCTCCGGTTTGGTCTTTAGCGAGAAATGTAGATTTGGTGCTCTAGACTTGGGAACTTGGTGATTTGACTCCTTTTGCTCCATTTTGACTCTTCTTTGCTATTTTGACCTGAATGATGCTCAAAACCAGAATATACAAGAAAACTACCTCTTGGGCTTAAAAACCACATTATTTGTATTGAAAACATAGTGAAAACCTTGGTAAAAACATGAAAGATATGGATATATCAACTCCCCCAGACTTAGCCTTTTGCTTGTCCCAAGCAAACTAAGAGAGGAAGAGAGGTTTGAAAACAAAGAACTCTCAAATCATTAGGAAATCCGGGTTGGCTTGGTTTTAGTAATCCACATGAAAGTAGTAAAGGCAAATTTTGAATTAAGAACAAGAGTACATACCATGAGTTTTGCGATTTTTCCAAGGCGGCCCACCTCTCTTTGGACAATCCAATTCGCCCTCCTTGACTCCTTTCATTTCTAAAGGTGTGGTCTCAACTAGGGAGTATCGATCAGCCGGCTTTAGACTCTTACTCATCCCCTTGTTTGGCACTTGTCTTTTTACTCCATGTTTCTCCTCTCTCTCTTCTCACTTCTTCAAGTTGATCATCCCTTTTTTAGGGTAGCTGATGTACTTGCATTTTGCATAGTTTTAGTACATCTTTTATGCATCTTTTGCATAGTTTTAGCATCCATTAGCATCATATCTTGTTCCTTTTCTCTTCTTATGCATTCATGTAGTTTTAGCATTTGCATACATATGCATGTTTGGTCCTTTGAAATAGGTCTTTTGGAGCATTCTGGAGCATATGGGACGTAAGGAGCATGGAAGGACTTGGCATGGACGCAGCTCAACTGGATACGCAAAGGAAGAAGGAGAAGCCATCTTGAAGACCAGCTCGACCATCTACTCGACCAACCGGTCGAGTTCCTCAACTCGACCGGCCAAGCTTCAACTCGATCGAGCTGAGAAGTCAAAGTCAAACCCGAAAAATGTTGCTTCCCCCTTGACTTTCCTTTGACCCTAAACCTAAATCCTCTTGTATTTAAAGGCTAAAAGCCACGAAAAAACCACCAAGCTTTAGATTACTTTTGTTTTAGTTTCTTTTTAATTATTGTCTTTTACTTTTTAGAGCTCTAATCCCATCTTTGTGTTCTTGAAGCTCTTGCTTCTTGAATCCTAGATCCTGGATAATCTCTTTTGTATTTGCACTTGCTTATTTCAATAAAAGTTGTTTATCTTTATCTCCTCTTTCTTATGATGTCTCTTTTATTGCATTTGCTTGTGTTTACATTCATGTGTAGTGAGTAGTTACCCATTAGGGTTTGAGATGGGATAGATTAGGGGTTTCATATGCTTAATCCTTCTTGCTTATGGTCTTAATCTAGATTCTCTCTCTTTTGGATAAATCTTAAGGCTACATGACCACTACCCCTGGCTTGTATGTCCATTAGGCGATTCTCCACATGGAAGTGATGGAAATCGCTGGAAAATCCACTAAGAGCTCCAATAACTCTTGCTCTCGAAATGGAGGTCAAGGGGTTGGATGGATTAGTTTGGGCAATGATCCTATGGCCTCCAAGGTTTGATTCTCACTGGCTAACCCCCTGTTTCTGAGATCATTCCTTGGTTGATAGCCTCCACCTTGGGAAAGGGTTGGCTAGGCATTGAGAAGCCCAATATCAAGAGAAGCCTTGATACAAGGAGTTTTAAGAGCAGATCGATTAAGTGTAGCTTCCTAGTTAAAACCCTGTCTTGAACCCTAATTCTCGCATTAGCTTGTTAAAGTCGCTGCCTTTATTGCTTTTTACTTCAACTCGACCCTAAACTCGATCGAGCTCGGTACTCTGTTCCACTCGACTCGAGTCCTTGGTCGAGCTGTTGCTCTTACTGTTGCTTACTTTACTTTACTGCATTTCATTTCTATTTCATTTAGGTTGTTAGTGTTACCCCATATCTATTACTGCTTGCTTGACTTCCTTGTTTTTCATATTCTCATAGAGTGACAACTTTCCCATTTTGGATTGATACCCTTTATGCTATAACAACTATCATGGTTAAAGGGAATTGTTGACTGTGTTTGTGTTTGCATCTTACCACCTCATCATTACCACTGTTGCATTCCACCACATCTCATTTCATATCATTTCACACCACACACAAATCCTATCATCAATTTGGCGCCGTTGCCGATTTGGGATTATTTTGTTGCATTTGAGATTCAAATATACTTGGACGATCAAGCTATACCACCCCTGTTCTTTTGTACTGCTGGGTTTTTGTCTCTTTTTGCAGGTGTATGCGAACTCGATCGAGACGGTCTACAAAGGACTTGGTCGAGCTAGACTTTACAACGGGTCGAAACAGAGACAAGGGATTGTTCCACCACCAGTGCAGAACAACAACTTTGAGATCAAGCTGGGAATGATCAACCTTGTTCAGAACAAGATGTTCCATGGATTGCCAAGTGAAGACCCCATTGACCACCTTGATGAGTTTGATAGGCTTTGCGATTTGACAAAGATCAATGGTGTCTCTAAAGATGCCATCAAACTGAGACTGTTTCCTATGTCTCTAGCTGACAAAGCTCACCAATGGGAGAAGAGCTTGCCCCATGGCACAATCACCACTTGGGATGAATGCAAGAAGGCCTTTCTTGCTAAATTTTTCTCCACCGGTCGCACAGCCAAGCTTAGGAGCGAGATATCGAGCTTCATCCAGCGAAACAATGAGACATTCGCTGAGGCTTGGGAGAGGTTCAAAAGCTACACAAGTCAGTGCCCACACCATGGATTCAACAATAAATCACTACTCTCCACTCTTTATAGGGGTTGCTTGGCAAGATATAGGGAGATGCTGGACACAGCTAGCAATGGGAACTTCCGCAATCAAGATGTGGATGATGGCTGGCAGCTTGTGGAGAACATAGCCATATCAACTGAGTGCTATGGAGAAAATTATGAGAGTACAGACTGGAGCTCGACCGCGCACTCGATCGAGCTGGAAGCACAAATGAGAAAAGATATGCTTGCTCTGAACTCGAAGTTGGACAAACAAATCCTAGCCCAATTCCCTGCCAAGCATGTCAATTCTGTCTCTGGAAAAGCTCTAGTTAAAGACCAGGAAGGGGAGGAGAACCAACATGAGGTTTGCTACATTCAAAATAGACAAGGAAGGTTTAGGAATCCTCAGCAAGGATATACCATTGGCTATGGACAACAAGGGACATACTCCAGCTATCCAAACACCTTGCCGCAACAACACCTCAGTGTACCACCAAGCTTCACCCAATGGCCTAACCATACCCAACCAAGCCAAGATTGGGATATGAAGGATATGCTCAAACAACTCCTACAAGGGCAAGCCAAAGGTTCACTAGAAATGAACCACAAGTTGGTAGAAATAAACTCCAAACTTGAGTCATTAACTTCAAGAGTGCAAATCATTGAGTCTTCTAGTGCATCATTGATGATAGGATTTGTGTGTGGATGTGAAAAGATATGAAATGAGATGAGTGGAATGCAATCAGTGGTATATGATGAGGTGGTAAGATGCAAACACAAACACAGTCAACAATTCCCTTTAACCATGATAGTTGATGTAGTACAAAGGGTTATCAATCCAAAATGGGAAACTTGTCACTCTTGAGAATATGAAACAACCAGGAAGTCAAGCAAGCAGTTAAAGATTTGAAGTAACACTAACAACCTAAAAAAATGAAAAGCAGTGCAATAAAAGTAAACAAAGCAGTGAAGTGTCAGCTCGACCAAGAGCTCGAGTCGAGTCAGAGCAAAGTACCAGCTCGATCGAGTTTAGGGACGAGTTGAGACAAACAAAGCTAAAGGTGACGACTTTAACAAGATAAAGAGAGAATTAGGGTTCAAGACAGGGTTTTGCAATCAAAGGAATCTACACTTAATCAATCTAGCTCTTAAAACTCCTTGTATCAAGGCTTCTCTTGATATTGGGCTTCTCAATGCCTAGCCAACCCTTTCCCAAGGTGGAGGCTATCAACCAAGGAATGATCTCAGAAACAGGGGGTTAGCCAGTGAGAATCAAACCTTGGAGGCTATAGGATCATTGCCCAAACTAATCCATCCAACCCCTTAGACCTCTATTGTCTAGAGCAAGAGATATTGGAGCTCTTAGTGGATCTTTTCCAGCGAATGCCATCACTTTCGTGTGGGGAGTCGCCTAAGGACTTACAAGCCAGGGGTAGTGGTCATGTAGCCTTAAGATCTATCCAAAAGAGAGAGAATCTAGATTAAGACCATAAGCTAGAAGGATTAAGCATATGAAACCTCTAATCTATCCCATCTCAAACCCTAATGGGTAACTACTCACTACACATGAATGTAAACACAAGCAAATGCAATAAAAGAGACATCATAAGAAAGAGGAGATGAAATTAAACAACTTTTATTGAAATAAGCAAGTGCAAATACAAAGAGAGATTATCCAGGATCTAGGATTCAAGAAGCAAGAGCTTCAAGAACACAAAGATGGGATTAGATCTCTAAAAAGTAAAAGACAATAAATTAAAAGAAACTAAAACAAAATAATCTAAAGCTTGGTGGTTTTTTCGTGGCTTAGAGCCTTTAAATACAAAGAGGATTAGGTTTAGGGTCAAAGGAAAGTCAAGGGGGAAGCAACATTTTTCGGGTTTGACTTTGACTTCCAGCTCGATCGAGTTGAAGCTTGGCCGGTCGAGTTGAGGAACTCGACCGGTTGGTCGAGTAGACGGTCGAGCTGGTCTTCAAGATGGCTTCTCCCTTCTTCCTTTGCGTATCCAGTTGAGCTGCTTCCATGTGCCAAGTCCCTCCATGCTCCTTGTCCCATATGCTCCAGAATGCTCCAAAAGACCTATTTCAAAGGACCAAACATGCATATGTATGCAAATGCAACCTAAAACTAACATGAATGCATAAGAAGAGAAAAGGAACAAGATATGATGCAAATGGAAGCTAAAACTATGCAAAAGATGCATAAAAGATGTGCTAAAACTATGTAAAATGCAAGTACATCAACACCCCCAAACTTGAACTTTGCTTGCCCTCAAGCAAACAAATAGAACAAGAAAGAGATGAGGTTTGAAAATAAGCTGATTCAACACTTAAAAACATGTCCTCAAAAGCGATTTGCTAAATGTCCAACTTAGAGATTCTAGAATGCAACAAGGTGAGAGATATTCATTAAGATTTAACCATGCTTATCAACATCAATCCCACTTCACAGTCACTCAAACAATGCATTCAAATCAGCAAATCCCTTTAACATTCATTAAGCAAAAACAGTGAACCAAAAACATGCAAGATCAATCAACTCATTTGGTTTCAAGGGTTTATGGGTTAAGAGACAAAGAGGGTCTCTTTTGTATGGTGGTTTAGTAACAGGGATCTCTCAAGAAAGTGGCTTTGCTTTGGCAGAAGGCTAAGTGTTAGAACCAAAGATGATGCAAGAACAGCAGCTCGAGCCGCCTAATCCTAACTCGATCGAGTTCAACACTTAGAGCTTTTTAGAACAAAATCCTAACTACCCTTTTTGGCATTTCGCCTTTGAAACTGAGGAGCTTTGCTCACTTTTCTTTTAAGAACTTCCTAGGGAGAGGCTTCTTGAGGTAACATCTAGCGGTTTGGGATTTTCTAAACACTTAGGGAACTTTTCTTTCCTTTTTGACACTTGAGGCTTTGCCTTCTTTTCATTCTACTTAGAACCCTTTTTACTTTCCTTTTTTAACTTCCCAAACCTTTACTAGACCCTTTTTAACACTGCCAACTCCCTGGACTTAACTAAACTCTTTTTCCTTTGGGTTTTTCCCAACTTTTACCACTTTTCTGGTTTTTACACCCAACTCGATCGAGCTCGAGTTGGCACCCCCAAACTTAGCCTGAAAACAATCCCAAGAGAACTAGACAACTAGAACTACTGCCCCTGCCGGTTTAAACACAACACCTTATGCTAAGCAAAGCCAAGAAAGGTTCTCACATTCGCACAAGAGATAATAATGGGGTTTGAAATGAAAAGGCTTAGGTTTAAGGTGTGGTAACTGTCTCAAAGATAGAGATCAGCTATCTGGACAAGCAAAGGGATATGAAAATAGGTAAAGAATGTCCAGATATGTATGTGGTAGCCATGAGTTGAAATCAAATGCAAGCATTGGTAATTAAAGATCAAGTTATGGTTCAAATAGATAGGGAAATGCATCAAATCACAGCAATGGTTGAATGAGATGTGCATGCAGTGATATGATCAAGATAAACATGGTTCTTGCTGCTCAATCAATCTCACCCTAATGCACAAAAGAATCTAAAAACAGGGCACTCAAGAAATCGCAAAAGATGGACAAGTTTTCAAAGTCAAATCAACAATGCAAGTGAAAAATGCAATCCTAAACAAGTCTAACAAATATGAATGCAAAAAGATGAAAATATTTTTGGATTTTTTGAAAATTTTATGATTTTTTTGGTTTTTCTATGCAAAAGATAAATGAAAAACTAAGAACAAAGAAAACAAGGTTAAATCATCTCTTGAACCCTCCCCCAAACTTAAATCACACAGTCCCTTGTGTGAGAAAAATTTAGTGAAAGATTCAAGAGGGCAAAACCAAGAAAAAACAAGAACAAATGCAAGAAAATATGAAATGGTATATACAAGGGTTGGTGTTTGGATACCTCAGTGTCCCCCAAAGAACTGGGAGACTAGGTCGTGGTCTGGAGATGGGAGACGGCCATCAGGAGCGCTCCACTCGACTGGGTTCGGCTCACTCGATCGAGCTTGCTCTTGACTCGATCGAGTTGTGCCTCGAGTTAGCCACTCTCCTTCCTAAAACCTGCTCCTGTGAGACTCAGCCAAGAAAATCATAAAAATAAAAGGATAAAGTATAAATACATAAGATAGACATGGGAATTCCTCCCAAGTGAGCTTGTTTTAGGTCTCTTAGCTTGACCTTACCCCTTTTAGGCCGGGGTTGGATCTTCTAGAGGAGTGATGATCTCCTCTGTGGGGGTCATTCCTAGATATGGCTTGCATCTATGTCCATTCACTGTGAATTCCTTCCCCTCTTGATTGAGCAAAGTGAGGGACCCATAGGGTAGAACTTCGTGAATCTTGAATGGTCCCGCCCACTTTGACCTCAGCTTCCCGGGAAACAACCTTAGCTTGGAGTTATACAAGAGCACACTGTCCCCAACCTTGAAGTCCTTAAGGCGAATCAGTTTGTCGTGGGCTGCCTTGGTTCTCATCTTGTAAATCCTAGAGTTCTCATAGGCATTCATTCTTATTTCCTCCAACTCAAACAAGTTCATTACCCTCCTTTCTTGTGCTGCCTTTATATCAAAGTTCAGCATCTTTACTGCCCATAAAGCCTTATATTCGACCTCCACAGGTAAGTGGCAGTCCTTCCCATACAGCAAATTGAAAGGAGACCTTCCAATGGGGGTTTTGTAGGCTGTTCTATAAGCCCAAAGTGCCTCATCAAGCCTTGCTGCCCAGTCTTTCCTAGTGAAGCTCACAGTCTTCTCCAATATGGCCTTGATCTGTCTGTTGGAGACTTCAACTTGCCCACTGGTTTGAGGGTGATAAGTGTGGCGACCTTGTGTTGACTCCATGGCTTCTCATCAACTTTTCAAACACCTTGTTGATGAAATGGGAGCCTCCATCCGAAATAACAACCCTTGGGATGCCGAACCTTGGAAAGATGATGGTTCTGAAAAGCTTGACAACCACCTTGGCATCACAGGTTGGGCAGGGAATGGCTTCAATCCATTTGGATACATAGTCTACAGCAACCAAAATGTAGTTGTGCCCGTTTGAAGAAGGTTTGAAAGGTCCCATGAAGTCTATTCCCCATACATCAAAGATCTCAACCTCTAGAATTGGGTTTAGTGGCATCTCGTCCCTCTTGGTGATCCCTCCTTTCCTTTGGCATGGATCACACTTGGCAATGTAGTCTGCTGCATCCTTAAACAAAGTAGGCCACCATAAACCAGATTGCAAAACCTTAGTTGCTGTTTTGAATGTAGCAAAGTGACCTCCATAAGCTGACCCATGGCAATGCTCTAGAACTCCTTGCACATCCTCTTCAGCAATGCATCTCCTGTAAATGCTGTCTGGTCCTCTCTTGTACAAGTAAGGGCTCATCCCAATAGTAATGCCTAGCATCCTTGAAGAATTTCTTCCTCTTGTAAGCATCAAAGCTACTAGGGACTTCTCCGGACACCATGAAGTTCACTATATCAGCATACCATGGCAAATTCTCATCACGCAGAGCCTTAACTTCTTCCAGCCTGGCTTTCTCATCAAAACTCTCCTTCAAGATCATGATTGCCATAAGCTGTTCTTCAGGCATAGAATCATTGATGGGGATCATGTCTTCAACTCGCATCCTAGAGAGATGATCAGCAACTCCATTTTCTACTCCCTTTTTGTCCACAACTTCTATCAAACTCTTGAAGCAAAAGGATCCATCTGAGAAGTCTTGGCTTTGTATCTTTCTTAGCGAAGATGTGCCTAAGGGCAGCATGGTCAGTGTGCACAATCACCTTGGATCCAACTATATAGCTTCGAAACTTCTCAAAGGCAAAGACTATGGCAAGGAGCTCCTTCTCTGTGGTTGCATACTTGCACTGAGCATCATCCATAGTCTTGCTTGCATAGTAGATGACATTGAGTTTCTTGTCTATCTTTTGGCCAAGCACTGCTCCTACTGCATAGTCAGATGCATCACACATAATCTCAAATGGGTGATCCCAGTTTGGAGCTTGTACTATTGGCGCAGATACCAGAGCATCCTTCAGCAAGGTCCAAGACTTGTGGCATTCTTCATCAAACTCAAAATCTGTCTCCTTGCATAGAAGCCTTGTCAAGGGTCTTGCTATCTTTGAGAAATCCTTGATGAATCTTCTGTAGAACCCTGCATGACCCAGAAAACTCCTTATGTCCTTCACAGTCTTGGGAACAGGGAGCTGCAACATGACATCCACCTTAGCTCGATCGAGCTCGATCCCTTTCTCGGAAATCTTGTGTCCAAGCACAATCCCTTCTCGAACCATGAAGTGGCACTTCTCCCAGTTGAGTACTAGATTGGTCTCCTCACACCTCTGCAACACCCTGCACAAGTTAGACAAACATGAGGAGAAGGATGCTCCATAGACTGAGAAATCGTCCATGAAGACTTCTACCATCTCCTCTATCAGATCTGAAAAAATGGAGGTCATGCACCTCTGGAAAGTAGCTGGAGCATTGCACAGCCCAAATGGCATCCTTCGATAAGTGAAAGTGGTCTTCTCCTGATCATTAGGGTGGATCGGGATTTGGAAGAAACCACTGTAGCCATCAAGAAAACAATAAAAAGGGTGGTTTGCCAATCTTTCTAACATCTGATCAATGAAAGGGAGAGGGAAATGATCCTTTCTAGATGCTGAATTTAGCTTCCTATAGTCAATACACATGCGATGCCCCACTATTGTTCTAGTGGGAATCAGCTCCTCTTTGTCGTTTTTAATGACAGTGATCCCCCCTTTCTTTGGGACGCAATGAACTGGAGATATCCAAGTGCTATCACTGATGGGATAGATTATCCCAGCATCAAGCAACTTGAGTATCTCTTTCTTCACTACTTCCTTTAGATTGGGGTTCAACCTTCTCTGAGGTTCAATGCTTGACTTACTTTCATCCTCTAGATGAATCCTATGGATGCATAGGTCAGGGGAGATCCCCTTGATATCATCTAGAGTTTGGGGGTGCCAACTCGAGCTCGAGTTGGGTGTGAAAATCAGAAAAGTGGTACAAGTTGTGAAAAACCCAAAGGAAAGAGAGTTTGGTTAAGTCCAGGGAGTTGGCAGTGTTCAAAAGGGTCTAGTAAAGGTTTGGGAAGTTAAAAAAGGAAAGTTAAAGGGTTCTAAGTAGAATGAAAAGAAGGCAAAGCCTCAAGTGTCCAAAAAGGAAAGAAAAGTTCCCTAAGTGTTTAGAAAATCCCAAACCGCTAGATGTTACCTCAAGAAGCCTCTCCCTAGGAATTTCTTAAAAGAAAAGTGAGCAAAGCTCCTCAGTTTCAAAGGCGAAATGCCAAAAAGGGTAGTTAGGATTTTGTTCTAAAAAGCTCTAAGTGTTGAACTCGATCGAGTTAGGATTAGGCGGCTCGAGCTGCTGTTCTTGCATCATCTTTGGTTCTAACACTTAGCCTTCTGCCAAAGCAAAGCCACCTTCTAGAGAGATCCCTGTTACTAAACCACCATACAAAAGAGACCCTCTTTGTCTCTTGACCCATAAACCCTTGAAACCAAATGAGTTGATTGATCTTGCATGTTTTTGGTTCACTGTTTTTGCTTAATGAATGTTAAAGGGATTTGCTGATTTGAATGCACTGTTTGAGTGACTGTGAAGTGGGATTGATGTTGATAAGCATGGTTAAATCTTAATGAATGTCTCTCACCTTGTTGCATTCTAGCTTACAACACTAGACATCAACGAGGGAGGCGTCTAAGTGTTGGAGGACTCATCACACCTATCTTGTGTGCTGCTGGAGTGAACCCAACTGATAAGAGAGCCACTGAACCAGGTTGGATGGACATCAAGTTTTGCAAGACCAACCTTCTCATTGAGCACAAGGAGTTGGATGGGAGATTCCAATTCAAGTTCACACATCCATTGGCTTGGACCCTCCAAGTTCTCCTACCTAACCCAGAGCTCACCACAGTAGCAAGGGGTGAGAACATTGACTTCAGACCCCCTGTGTACACATTAGTTGGGCATGAGGATGATGCGAGAAGAGGAGCCTGAGCTCGATCGAGCTGAGGATCGAGCTGAGTCGAGCTGAGGATCGAGCTGAAGATCAGCCAGGAGAGTGCGGATTTGGGTGAGCCTGAGTGCTATTACTTTGAGGAGTATGAGGCTCCAAGGATGAACCCCTCTGTTGTGGCTGCCACAAGAGGATTGGACTTCTCCAAAAGTTCAACAAATGGCAAGGGAAAGCCATTGAGAAGATGCAAAAGTCCATGGACAAGATGGTGAGCAAGATCAAAAGTTTGGAGAAGAAGGTTTCTGGTTCTTCAAGCAAGAAGAAGAAGTCCAAGGCCCCCACATTCCCTAGGAGTAGATCACTCCTCACCACTCCAAGGAGGCTCCCTGCCCAAGAGCCTCACAGAGCCTCTTCTTTCGAGCCAAGGGAAGGAGAAGACAACACGCAGAGAAGGAGGAAGACTTCCAAGGCCAGACGCTCCAGCTCGACCACCGGACTCGATCGAGTCCAAACAGAGGAAACTCAACTCGATCGAGCTGACGGTCGAGCTGACCTGGAGGAGCCCCAGTTCGAGATCCGGGATTTGAGTACGATCCCAGCCTTACCAGGACCTCCCCGGAGTAGATGGAACCCCTATGGACAGTACGAGCTACCAATGCTCCACCAAGGCCAAGGAAGCCACACACATTTCAACGATGAAGAAGAGGAGGAAGAGGAGCCACAAGCTCGATCGAGTGAGCCACAAGAGGCAACCCCAGTTGCATGGAGTGCTCCTGATGGCCGTCTCCCATCTCCAGACCACGACCTAGTCTCCCAGTTCTTTGGGGGACACTGAGGTATCCAAACACCAACCCTTGTATATACCATTTCATATTTTCTTGCATTTGTTCTTGTTTTTTCTTGGTTTTGCCCTCTTGAATCTTTCACTAAATTTTTCTCACACAAGGGACTGTGTGATTTAAGTTTGGGGGAGGGTTCAAGAGATGATTTAACCTTGTTTTCTTTGTTCTTAGTTTTTCATTTATCTTTTGCATAGAAAAACCAAAAAAATCATAAAATTTTCAAAAAATCCAAAAATATTTTCATCTTTTTGCATTCATATTTGTTAGACTTGTTTAGGATTGCATTTTTCACTTGCATTGTTGATTTGACTTTGAAAACTTGTCCATCTTTTGCGATTTCTTGAGTGCCCTGTTTTTAGATTCTTTTGTGCATTAGGGTGAGATTGATTGAGCAGCAAGAACCATGTTTATCTTGATCATATCACTGCATGCACATCTCATTCAACCATTGCTGTGATTTGATGCATTTCCCTATCTATTTGAACCATAACTTGATCTTTAATTACCAATGCTTGCATTTGATTTCAACTCATGGCTACCACATACATATCTGGACATTCTTTACCATTTTCATATCCCTTTTGCTTGTCCAGATAGCTGATCTCTATCTTTGAGACAGTTACCACACCTTAAACCTAAGCCTTTTCATTTCAAACCCCATTATTATCTCTTGTGCGAATGTGAGAACCTTTCTTGGCTTTGCTTAGCATAAGGTGTTGTGTTTAAACCGGCAGGGGCAGTAGTTCTAGTTGTCTAGTTCTCTTGGGATTGTTTTCAGGCTAAGTTTGGGGGTGCCAACTCGAGCTCGATCGAGTTGGGTGTAAAAACCAGAAAAGTGGTAAAAGTTGGGAAAAACCCAAAGGAAAAAGAGTTTGGTTAAGTCCAGGGAGTTGGCAGTGTTAAAAGGGTCTAGTAAAGGTTTGGGAAGTTAAAAAAGGAAAGTAAAAAGGGTTCTAAGTAGAATGAAAAGAAGGCAAAGCCTCAAGTGTCCAAAAAGGAAAGAAAAGTTCCCTAAGTGTTTAGAAAATCCCAAACCGCTAGATGTTACCTCAAGAAGCCTCTCCCTAGGAAGTTCTTAAAAGAAAAGTGAGCAAAGCTCCTCAGTTTCAAAGGCGAAATGCCAAAAAGGGTAGTTAGGATTTTGTTCTAAAAAGCTCTAAGTGTTGAACTCGATCGAGTTAGGATTAGGCGGCTCGAGCTGCTGTTCTTGCATCATCTTTGGTTCTAACACTTAGCCTTCTGCCAAAGCAAAGCCACTTTCTTGAGAGATCCCTGTTACTAAACCACCATACAAAAGAGACCCTCTTTGTCTCTTAACCCATAAACCCTTGAAACCAAATGAGTTGATTGATCTTGCATGTTTTTGGTTCACTGTTTTTGCTTAATGAATGTTAAAGGGATTTGCTGATTTGAATGCATTGTTTGAGTGACTGTGAAGTGGGATTGATGTTGATAAGCATGGTTAAATCTTAATGAATATCTCTCACCTTGTTGCATTCTAGAATCTCTAAGTTGGACATTTAGCAAATCGCTTTTGAGGACATGTTTTTAAGTGTTGAATCAGCTATTTTCAAACCTCATCTCTTTCTTGTTCTATTTGTTTGCTTGAGGGCAAGCAAAGTTCAAGTTTGGGGGTGTTGATGTACTTGCATTTTACATAGTTTTAGCACATCTTTTATGCATCTTTTGCATAGTTTTAGCTTCCATTTGCATCATATCTTGTTCCTTTTCTCTTCTTATGCATTCATGTTAGTTTTAGGTTGCATTTGCATACATATGCATGTTTGGTCCTTTGAAATAGGTCTTTTGGAGCATTCTGGAGCATATGGGACAAGGAGCATGGAGGGACTTGGCACATGGAAGCAGCTCAACTGGATACGCAAAGGAAGAAGGGAGAAGCCATCTTGAAGACCAGCTCGACCGTCCACTCGACCAACCGGTCGAGTTCCTCAACTCGACCGGCCAAGCTTCAACTCGATCGAGCTGGAAGTCAAAGTCAAACCCGAAAAATGTTGCTTCCCCCTTGACTTCCTTTGACCCTAAACCTAATCCTCTTTGTATTTAAAGGCTCTAAGCCACGAAAAAACCACCAAGCTTTAGATTATTTTGTTTTAGTTTCTTTTAATTTATTGTCTTTTACTTTTTAGAGATCTAATCCCATCTTTGTGTTCTTGAAGCTCTTGCTTCTTGAATCCTAGATCCTGGATAATCTCTCTTGTATTTGCACTTGCTTATTTCAATAAAAGTTGTTTAATTTCATCTCCTCTTTCTTATGATGTCTCTTTTATTGCATTTGCTTGTGTTTACATTCATGTGTAGTGAGTAGTTACCCATTAGGGTTTGAGATGGGATAGATTAGAGGTTTCATATGCTTAATCCTTCTAGCTTATGGTCTTAATCTAGATTCTCTCTCTTTTGGATAGATCTTAAGGCTACATGACCACTACCCCTGGCTTGTAAGTCCTTAGGCGACTCCCCACACGAAAGTGATGGCATTCGCTGGAAAAGATCCACTAAGAGCTCCAATATCTCTTGCTCTAGACAATAGAGGTCTAAGGGGTTGGATGGATTAGTTTGGGCAATGATCCTATAGCCTCCAAGGTTTGATTCTCACTGGCTAACCCCCTGTTTCTGAGATCATTCCTTGGTTGATAGCCTCCACCTTGGGAAAGGGTTGGCTAGGCATTGAGAAGCCCAATATCAAGAGAAGCCTTGATACAAGGAGTTTTAAGAGCTAGATTGATTAAGTGTAGATTCCTTTGATTGCAAAACCCTGTCTTGAACCCTAATTCTCTCTTTATCTTGTTAAAGTCGTCACCTTTAGCTTTGTTTGTCTCAACTCGTCCCTAAACTCGATCGAGCTGGTACTTTGCTCTACTCGACTCGAGTCTTGGTCGAGCTGACACTTCACTGCTTTGTTTACTTTTATTGCACTGCTTTTCATTTTTTTAGGTTGTTAGTGTTACTTCAAATCTATAACTGCTTGCTTGACTTTCTGGTTGTTTCATATTCTCAAAGAGTGACAAGTTTCCCATTTTGGATTGATAACCTCTTATACTTCAATGACTATGATGGTTAAGAGGAATTGATTGATTGTGATTGCACCATACCATATCATCTTTATTCACCCCTGTTTGCATTCCACCTCATTTCATTCATTTCATTCACACACACACAAAATCCTATCATCACTCTTCTAGAAGCTCATCTGCCAACTGATCCATTTCCTCAACATAAAAGAGCTGACCTTCTATAGTTGGTTTCCTCATTGTATCTTTTATATCAAACTTCATCTTCAGGTCCTTTCCCAAGTTTAACTCAATTGTTCCTTCACAGACATCTATCATTGCTCTTGCTGTAGCTAGGAATGGCCTTCCTAGAATCAATGGATCTGTTGGTTCCTCATCCATCTCAAGCACAATGAAGTCTGTGGGGATTTCCACATTCCCTATCCTCAAAGGCAGGTCTTCAAGCATCCCAGTTGGTAACCTTATCGATCTATCTGCCAAGACTAGTGAGATTCCGCAGGCTTGGTACTTGTGATATCCCAGTCTCTTCGCTACAGACAAAGGCATGAGGCTGACAGATGATCCTAGATCGCAGAGACTGTTTTTGAAAGATAGGGGTCCTAACATGCAGGGCAAAGTGAAACTCCCCGGATCTTCCTTTTTGTCGGAGATGACCTTCCGCTGAATGATTGCACTGCACTCGCGGGTCAACACTACCATCCCTTGTGCTTCCCTGGTTCTTTGCTGAACAGCATCCTTCAGAAATTTCTGATAAGGCGGAATGAGCATCAAGGCATCAATGAAGGGCAACTTCAACTCAAGCTGTCTCATTAGTTCTTTGCAAAGGTTTAGCTGGTTGGCTGGAGTTTGCTTTGTCTGCTCTCTTCTGGGCTCGATCGAGCTCTGGTTTGTCTTGCAGTGTCTCAGTTTCTTCAGCTCGATCGATCGAGTTCTGGTTCAGGATTTTGTTCCAGCTCGATCGAGTTCGGAGTCGAGTTATCAGCATAGTCGACTAAATCCTCCCCTTCCTCGTCATCGATGTCCACAGCGATTTGGGGTGGGCTACCTCTACTCGGGAATTGCTTTCCACTTCTTAGTGTAACTGCTTGGGCATACTCTTGTGGTGAAGAGGATGATGCACTTGAAGACTCAATGATTTGGACTCTTGAAGTCAATGACTCTAGTTTAGAGTGTATCTCAACCAGCTTGTTGTTCATTTCCAAGAACCTTTGGCTTGCCCTTGTAAAAGTTGTTGGAGCATTTCCTTCATATCCCAATCATGAGTTGGTTGGGTATGAGTAGTCCTTGTGTTGAAGCCTTGTGGAACACTTTGTTGTAGGTGCGGCCAGGGGGCTTGATAATTGTTGTATCGCCCTTGTTGAGGATTCCTATAGCTTCCTTGTCTATTTTGAATGTAGCAAACTTCTTGTGTTGTCTCCTCCCCTTCCTGGTCCTTGACTAGGTTTGTTCTGAGACATAGTTGACATGCTTGGCAGGGAATTGGGCTAGGATCAGTTTGTCCAACTTCGAGTTGAGTGCAAGCATGTCTTTTCTCATCTGAGCGTCCAGCTCGATCGAGCGCGCGGTCGAGCTCCAATCTGTACTTTCATAGTGCTCTCCATAGCATTCTGTTGATATGGCCATGTTCTCCACAAGTTGCCAGCCATCATCTACATCCTGGTTGAGGAAGTTCCCATTGCTAGCTGTGTCTAGCATCTCCCTATACCTAGGCAAGCATCCTCTATAAAGAGTGGAGAGTAGTGATTCATTGTTGAATCCATGGTGTGGGCACTGACTTGTGTAGCCTTTGAACCTCTCCCAAGCCTCTGCGAATGTCTCATTGTTTCGCTGGATGAAGCTGGATATCTCTCCTCTAAGCTTGGCTGTGCGACCGGTGGAGAAAAACTTAGCAAGAAAGGCCTTCTTGCATTCATCCCAAGTGGTGATTGTGCCATGGGGCAAGCTCTTCTCCCATTGGTGAGCTTTGTCAGCTAGAGACATAGGAAAGAGTCTCAGCTTGATGGCATCTTCAGAGACACCATTGATCTTTGTCAAATCACAAAGCCTATCAAACTCATCAAGGTGGTCAATGGGGTCTTCACTTGGCAATCCATGGAACATCTTGTTCTGGACAAGGTTGATCATTCCCAGCTTGATCTCAAAGTTGTGGTTCTGCACTGGTGGTGGAACAATCCCTTGTCTCTGTTGGTGGCGGTTTGGAGCATCTCCTTGACCAATCGGTCGAGTTTGCCTAGCTCGACCGAGTCCATTCCCAAAGGGTTTCCATTCCCCTCTGGTACATCCATTGTATCAGCAACAAGCACCTCAGGTTCCTCTTGTACCCTCTGTGACCTCTGAACCCTCTTTCTACCCGTTGTAAGTCTAGCTCGACCAAGTCTTCAGTAGACCGACTCGATCGAGTTCGCATACACCTGCAAAAAGAGACAAAAACCCAGCAGTACAATAGAACAGGGGTGGTATAGCTTGATCGTCCAAGTGTGTTTGAAACTCAAATGCAACAAAAATATTCCCAAATCGGCAACGGCGCCAAATTGATGATAGGATTTGTGTGTGGATGTGAAAAGATATGAAATGAGATGAGTGGAATGCAATCAGTGGTATATGATGAGGTGGTAAGATGCAAACACAAACACAGTCAACAATTCCCTTTAACCATGATAGTTGATGTAGTACAAAGGGTTATCAATCCAAAATGGGAAACTTGTCACTCTATGAGAATATGAAACAACCAGGAAGTCAAGCAAGCAGTAATAGATTTGAAGTAACACTAACAACCTAAATAAATGAAAATGCAGTGCAATAAAAGTAAACAAAGCAGTGAAGTGTCAGCTCGACCAAGACTCGAGTCGAGTCAGAGCAAAGTACCAGCTCGATCGAGTTTAGGGACGAGTTGAGACAAACAAAGCTAAAGGTGACGACTTTAACAAGATAAAGAGAGAATTAGGGTTCAAGACAGGGTTTTGCAATCAAAGGAATCTACACTTAATCAATCTAGCTCTTAAAACTCCTTGTATCAAGGCTTCTCTTGATATTGGGCTTCTCAATGCCTAGCCAACCCTTTCCCAAGGTGGAGGCTATCAACCAAGGAATGATCTCAGAAACAGGGGGTTAGCCAGTGAGAATCAAACCTTGGAGGCTATAGGATCATTGCCCAAACTAATCCATCCAACCCCTTAGACCTCTATTGTCTAGAGCAAGAGATATTGGAGCTCTTAGTGGATCTTTTCCAGCGAATGCCATCACTTTCGTGTGGGGAGTCGCCTAAGGACTTACAAGCCAGGGGTAGTGGTCATGTAGCCTTAAGATCTATCCAAAAGAGAGAGAATCTAGATTAAGACCATAAGCTAGAAGGATTAAGCATATGAAACCTCTAATCTATCCCATCTCAAACCCTAATGGGTAACTACTCACTACACATGAATGTAAACACAAGCAAATGCAATAAAAGAGACATCATAAGAAAGAGGAGATGAAATTAAACAACTTTTATTGAAATAAGCAAGTGCAAATACAAAGAGAGATTATCCAGGATCTAGGATTCAAGAAGCAAGAGCTTCAAGAACACAAAGATGGGATTAGATCTCTAAAAAGTAAAAGACAATAAATTAAAAGAAACTAAAACAAAATAATCTAAAGCTTGGTGGTTTTTTCGTGGCTTAGAGCCTTTAAATACAAAGAGGATTAGGTTTAGGGTCAAAGGAAGTCAAGGGGGAAGCAACATTTTTCGGGTTTGACTTTGACTTCTCAGCTCGATCGAGTTGAAGCTTGGCCGGTCGAGTTGAGGAACTCGACCGGTTGGTCGAGTAGACGGTCGAGCTGGTCTTCAAGATGGCTTCTCCCTTCTTCCTTTGCGTATCCAGTTGAGCTGCTTCCATGTGCCAAGTCCCTCCATGCTCCTTGTCCCATATGCTCCAGAATGCTCCAAAAGACCTATTTCAAAGGACCAAACATGCATATGTATGCAAATGCAACCTAAAACTAACATGAATGCATAAGAAGAGAAAAGGAACAAGATATGATGCAAATGGAAGCTAAAACTATGCAAAAGATGCATAAAAGATGTGCTAAAACTATGTAAAATGCAAGTACATCAATCATCCTCTTCACCACAGAGTATGCTCAAGCAGTTACACTAGAAGTGGGCGGCAATTTCCAAGCAGGAGTAGCCCACCCCAAATCGCTGTGGACATCGATGACGAGGAAGGGGAGGATTTGGTCGAGTATGCTGACATTCCGGCACCGAACTCGATCGAGCTGGAACAAAACCCTGAACCAGAGCTCGATCGAGCTGAAGAAACCGAGACTCAGAAGACAAACCAGAGCTCGATCGAGCCGAGAAGAGAACGGACAAAGCAAGCTCCAGCCAACCAGCTAAACCTGTTGCAAGAAGAAAGACACTCCATCAGGACCACCACCATACAAACCCCCTCTACCCTTTCCAGGAAGGTTCAAGAAACAACTGTTGGAAGCACACAAGGCCAAGTTTGATGAACTAATGAGACAACTTGAGCTGAAGTTGCCTTTCATCGACGCCTTGATGCTCATTCCACCTTATCAGAAATTCCTGAAGGATGCTGTTCAGCAAAGAACCAGGGAAGCGCAAGGAATGGTAGTGTTGACTCGTGAGTGCAGTGCAATCATTCAGCGGAAGGTCATCTCCGACAAAAAGGAAGATCCGGGGAGTTTCACTTTGCCCTGCATGTTGGGACCCTATCTTTCAAAAACAGCCTCTGCGACCTAGGATCATCTGTCAGCCTCATGCCTTTGTCTGTAGCAAAGAGACTGGGATATCACAAGTATCAAGCCTGCGGAATCTCACTAGTCTTGGCAGATAGATCGATAAGGTTACCAACTGGAATGCTTGAAGACCTGCCTTTGAGAATAGGGAATGTAGAAATCCCCACCGACTTCATTGTGCTTGAGATGGATGAGGAACCAACAGATCCATTGATACTAGGAAGGCCATTCCTAGCTACAGCAAGAGCAATGATAGATGTCTGTGAAGGCACAATTGAGCTAAACTTGGGAAAGGACCTAAGGATGAAGTTTGACATCAAGGATACAATGAGGAAAGCCAACAATAGAAGGTCAGCTCTTTTATGTTGAGGAGATGGATCAGTTGGCAGATGAGCTTTTAGAAGAGCTATCATTGGAGGATCCCCTACAAGTTGCTTTGACCAAGGATTCTTCAGAAGGATATGTGAGCTCAGAAACCGAGGAATACAAGAAGCTCCTTGACACCTTCAGACCAGTTCCAAGCATTCTGAGCATTGAGGGGTTGGACAGGCCAGTTTGCGAAGTCATGGCAGTGAGCTCGATCAAGAGCTCGATCGAGTCAACCTCGAACAAACGAACTCGATCGAGCTGGGGACTGAATGCAAGGAGCAAGCTCAAGGAGATTGGTCTGAGCTCAAGGCGCCTAAAGTCGACCTCAAACCTTTGCCTGAGGGCCTCAGGTATGCATTTCTGGGTGAAAACTCAACTTACCCTGTCATTGTGAACTCTGATTTGGAACCTGAACAGTTGAGTGCTTTGCTTGTTGAATTGAGGAAGTACAGAAAAGCAATAGGTTACACTCTAGATGATATCAAGGGAATCTCCCCTGACCTATGCATCCATAGGATTCATCTAGAGGATGAAAGTAAGTCTAGCATTGAACCTCAAAGGAGATTGAACCCCAATCTAAAGGAAGTAGTGAAGAAAGAGATACTCAAGTTGCTTGATGCTGGGATAATCTATCCCATCAGTGATAGCACTTGGATATCTCCAGTTCATTGCGTCCCAAAGAAAGGGGGGATCACTGTCATAAAAATGACAAAGAGGAGCTGATTCCCACTAGAACAATAGTGGGGCATCGCATGTGTATTGACTATAGGAAGTTAAATTCAGCATCTAGAAAGGATCATTTCCCTCTCCCTTTCATTGATCAGATGTTAGAAAGATTAGCAAACCATCCTTTTTATTGTTTTCTTGATGGTTACAGTGGTTTCTTCCAAATCCCGATCCACCCAATGATCAGGAGAAAACCACTTTCACATGCCCTTATGGTACCTTTGCTTATCGAAGGATGCCATTTGGGCTGTGCAATGCCCCAGCTACTTTCCAGAGATGCATGACCTCCATTTTTTCAGATCTGATAGAGGAGATGGTAGAAGTCTTCATGGACGATTTCTCAGTCTATGGAGCATCCTTCTCCTCATGTTTGTCTAACTTGTGCAGGGTGTTGCAGAGGTGTGAGGAGACAAATCTAGTACTCAACTGGGAGAAGTGCCACTTCATGGTTCGAGAAGGGATTGTGCTTGGACACAAGATTTCCGAGAAAGGGATCGAGCTCGATCGAGCTAAGGTGGATGTCATGTTGCAGCTCCCTGTTCCCAAGACTGTGAAGGATATCAGGAGTTTTCTGGGTCACGCAGGGTTCTACAGAGATTCATCAAGGATTTCTCAAAGATAGCAAGACCCTTGACAAGGCTTCTATGCAAGGAGACAGATTTTGAGTTTGATGAAGAATGCCACAAGTCTTGGACCTTGCTGAAGGATGCTCTGGTATCTGCCCCAATAGTTCAAGCTCCAAACTGGGATTACCCATTTGAGATTATGTGTGATGCATCTGACTATGCAGTGGAGCAGTGCTTGGCCAAAAGATAGACAAGAAACTCAATGTCATCTACTATGCAAGCAAGACTATGGATGATGCTCAATGCAAGTATGCAACCACAGAGAAGGAGCTCCTTGCCATCGTCTTTGCCTTTGAGAAATTTCGAAGCTATATAGTTGGGTCAAGGTGATTGTGCACACTGACCATGCTGCCCTTAGGCACATCTTTGCTAAGAAAGATAAAGCCAAGAGAAGGACTCCTTTTGCAGATGGATCCTTTTGCTTCAAGAGTTTGACATAGAAGTTGTGGACAAAAAGGAGTAGAAAATGGAGTTGCTGATCATCTCTCTAGGATGCGAGTTGAAGACATGATCCCCATCAATGATTCTATGCCTGAAGAACAGCTTATGGCAATCATGATCTTGAAGGAGAGTTTTGATGAGAAAC